TTTAGATCATTCTAAGTCATACTAAAAAAAAAAAAAACGAGGAAAATTCAGACCATGACAGGATTTTTAATGTTGCTTTATAAATTGATGCTGAGTTTTGAGTTTTTCTTTAATTTTTATTGCTTGTGCAACCACACATTCCCCCAGTGTTGGATTTAAAACTGTACAAACATCTCCATTATTGTGGTCCAGATCTCTGTGGCATTTACATTAAAAAACAAAAGAACAAAGTCAAGCAATCCCTCTGGAAAAAAACAAAAAAGAAAAAGTTATTTCAGCAAAAGGAAAGAATTTTATTTTGATTCCTGAGGTTATGCAAGAGCTCCAGGAGAAGTGGGACAAGGATAACAAGGAGAGGATCGATATCCAGAGTTCAAAGGTAGGCAGCTGATCAAAGGTTAAATACAAGAAAAGAAATTATTCCATTCAAGTTAAATATAGGACATCGTAACCCAAATAGGTGCTTGGCTTCAATTAAAACTCTTGGAAAAGGCTTTTGTGTGAGGGGAAGTTCTCAAAGTCAGGCAAACTTTGTTTTTATTGCTTGGAAAGATCTGTGGGAAGGGCTTAGGCTCTCCAAAGGATGGGATATTTCCATTTCCACTCCAAAACATTTCCGGTTCTAAAGGGCAGAACCAACGCGATCCATTGAGGATTGCCGAGGAAATATTTCCTGGTTTAAAGCAGAGATGGAACAGCAGAGCCTGGAAAAGCATTTTCTCCAGGCTGGTGACAGCTGAGAGCACTGAACAGAGGCAAAGGTGGCAGGAAAATGGGACAGGGAGAGCTGAGGGGGACAGGAGGGAGCGGGACAGGGATCCATGAAAGGAGCTGGAATATTGCGGAGGAAGCAGGAGCTGCCTGGATGGAAAAGAGCAAAATTCCCTCCCCAGCATCCCTGCCCTGGAACATGGGTGGGAATATTGGATTGCACAGAGTAATTGGAGAGGTTGTGGATGCAGGAAATTGTTTTCCTTCATTACCAAACACGAGGGAAACGTGGGAAGGACGGTGGGGATCAAAGGAGAGAGGAGATTCGTGGCTGCTGTCTTCAAGGGATGTCCAGGGTTGTGCTGTTCTGAGGAGAAAAAGTGTCACTACATTTATTAAATATTCATCTGACAGCATAAACACTGATAAGAATTGATTTTAATTTCTCATTAATCTGTCAATAACCAATGGAATTAAATCTATTAGTGAAGGCAATAACAAGAGGCTGGGCTTGAAGCAGAGCCCAGTTCTTTGCAGGTTTCCCTTTGCTGAGTTTATTCAAACACATCCCAGTTTGTTGCTCTCCAGAACATCCAAATTCAGGAGAAAATAACACAAACCTGCCAAGTTCTGTCATTTTCAGGCAGCAGCTCTTTTGGTTTCATCCCAAGTCCAAAACTCCTCAGTCCTAGATTTTTATCCAATTATCAAAGCCACGATCCCAAGGCCAGGTTGGACGGGGCTTGGAGAACCCTGGGATAATGGAAGGTGGAACAAAATGAGCTTTAAAGTTCCCCCCCAACCCAAACCATTCCATGATTGTACAAAAACCGGCTACAAGGACATTTTTATCCATGGATTCATGGTTACAGGAATTCCTGGGTACACCTGGTATAATTCCAGCTCCTGTGGCTGTGTCCTGATGAGGTGATCTGGAGTTTTGAATATTTTCTCTTCAATACAGAAGATTCTTCTGGTTGTTCCCGAATCCCATGAATCTGGAGGGATCCTCTTGATCAGATTCTTTGCTCTCCTCCAACCCTGTGGTACTTTCAAGACTCAGTTAATGGCAAATAATGTTCTTAACAGCTATTTTTGGATTTTCTGCTTTAATGTTTTTGTTGGGGTTTTTTTGCCTTCCCTGCACTGAGTATTCAATGCAAATTTTATCCATTTTTAAAAAGAGCTGGAATATTTCAGTATCAGCTCCTTTCTGGGCTGACCCTGAGTGTGGGGTTTATATCAGGGGGAGGAAATGGGGCGCTACATCCACCTGAAAGGTCTCCTGAAGTTCCTAAAAAGGACCCACTGGTCAGGGAGCATTTCTGAATCTCTTATTCCATAATTATTATAATGTGCATAATGCCTCATGTGCATTAAACATTCAACTGAAATGACCCTGAATGTGACAGCAACCATATAATAAAGGAAAAAAACCCCTTATTTTACATAATAGAATTTAAAATATTAGTAATATAAATAATATACATAGAGTATGCTTAAGTGTGCACGCTTAACCATGCAGTTATGAATTATTTATATACATACATACACCAAATGTGTATTTAAACACTTAAACTTTGCACATGGGTTCATTTGAAGTGCATTATTGCATTGGATTAATTTGTAACATTTTACTTGCAAATAATCATCATTCAAAAATTCAGATTGCAGTGTATCTGTATTGGTAATCAAAAACACCACCAAGCTTGTCTGAATCCTTGGAACTCACAGGAGATTGGCATTTCCAGGAAATGTAAAGAGGAACTTGCAGCTCTGCATCATTTATCAAAGATTTCCTGGTTTGGCTGAAAAAAAAACCCAGAAGTTCCTCAGCTGAGAGGACAAAAATCACAAAAATTATTTTTTTGGAAAGGAAAAGGGAAAGGAAATGGGAAAGGGAAGTCCCCAAAGGTGCCAAAACCCTCTCTCTCCCCATCCCACCACGCTCCAGCTGTGCTGCCAGATGTTGCCATCCAGCTGCTCCTTCCAGCTCCAAGGAAAAATCCAATTATCTGTGCATGTGTGGCAGTTTGATTAGAGCAAGCACAGCCAAGTGTGACACGGTTTTATCTTTTCCATGAGTGGAATCGTAATTCCGGGGCCAGCCGTGTCTGTTTAGTGCAGCACTCTCTGCTCCTGTTCCACCCCACCCCGTCACTCCCAAAGTCTGGGTCCAGGAGGAGCCTTTTCAGTGCAGGGATCATTTGGGAACCCTTTGGAATGGCACTGATGGAATGAGAGAAGATTTTCCATCATTTCCTTTCCCTCTGAGCTGCCATGGTTGGGCGTTTCTCTTCAGCTGCTGTCAAACCACAAGAGTTCCAACAAAATTCCAAGAGTTCCAACAAAATCCCAAGAGTCCCAACAAAATTCCAAGAGTCCCAACAAAATTCCAAGAGTTCCAACAAAATCCCAAGAGTCCCAACAAAATTCCAAGAGTTCCAACAAAATCCCAAGAGTCCCAACAAAATCCCAAGAGTCCCAACAAAATTCCAAGAGTCCCAACAAAATTCCAAGAGTCCCAACAAAACTGAGCTCAGAAAAAAGGTTTGGAATGCAGAACTTTACGGCTCTCAGGGAAGACTTTTTGCCTTCAGTAGGGATTTTCTGGTGGGATGCACACAGCAGGATTGTTTCAAACCTCTGGGTGTTGTTTTTCACAAGTGCTGGAAAGTCAAACCACGAGGAGAGCGAATTAAAAAATCCCATTTCAGCACGAGCAGGGTGTTTAATTAATAATTAATAATTGGAAATTAATAATTGGAAACTTCCCCACTGCTCAGAATGAGGGATTTTCATGGGATTTCCTGCGGTGGGGCTGGATCCAGGGTGTCTGAGAGAATGTGGGGTGGGACAGACCCCAAGGGAGCAACCCCAGGGGTGGCCAAAGTGAGTTTTGAAGCTGGGATTTCTCAGCCTGGGTGAGTTCCTTAGGAATTATTATCCTGGGAACTCAGTAAAACCTTCCCCAGGGGCTGAAACGTGGGATTCAGGATGATGTGCTGGGACTCTCAACGCAGAAAACAACAAGAATCAGGTTCCCCAAATAAAGAAGGAGAAATGGGGTTTCTTGGAAGGGTCTCAAAACTGAAGAAAAATCTGATAGCAATTTGTTTCCCCAAATAAATATTGGAAAATTGTTTTTTTTGGAAGCCTTTGGCTGTCCCTAGTGTTTCCAGTGTCAGAGGGGAGGGTGCAAATGGTGGGACAAAGTGAGAGGGAGTGGGTTGAAGGTTCTGTACCCCCTCACCCCTGTCTGCATCTTCAGCAGCTGGACACTGCCAGCTCTGGAGAAACAGGCAACTTTTACTTGTCAGAATATAAAACATAAAATTACCCCTAAATGATCATTATCTTTGCCAGCTTCATTATCATTTCACAGTGAAATTTCAGGAAATTTCTAATTGCACCCATGAGATGCTGGCTATTGAGTTTTGTACCCCAACATTTTAAAGCAAAGAACAATCATTGAAATAAATGTAAAACACTGGAGCTTGCCCCCACCTCCTGCAGCACTTTGTTCCCATCAACTTTAATTGTAAATATGTTTTCCCCCATCTCTTTAGTTCAAATGCTGCACTCTTAGGATAAAAAGAGGCTTTAACATGAATTATTATTACAGTAAACACACAACAACAACATTTCCTTCAGTGAAATAAACAGAGACCAACATTCATTAATTAACCTTAAAATTTCAGGTTTAATTTTACAACTTGAGGTTAAAACATAGGAAACGCAAATGTGGCTGAAGTCATACAACCCCCTCCCAAACTTCAAGTTCTTTTTTCAAGTATCTGGATATTTTATAGATAAACAGCTTGAAACATTATTTCGTGCTAAATTGGTCATCTGGAAACATTTGCTTCTGCTTTATCCTGCCTTAAATTCTTCTCCAGAATAATGGCTTGCATGGGTGTAATTAAAATTAAGATGGAAGTTAAATATAGGGAAAATTACTTCAAAATAGGCTTCAAATCTACTTCAGTAACATCAGCTGCATCTTTTTTACAAAATTTTATCAGATATGAAATCAGACAGGAATTTTGCTCTGAAAAAAACAGAGTTTTTCCCTTCAGCTCTCAGCTTTGAAAAACCAACTTATCCTAAAATGCCACAGCAGGCTCATGACTGCTTTGTACACAAAATTCCTGGCTATGAACTGACTCTGCTGCTGTGCTTGTGAGGGAAAGAGTATTCCAAGATGACAAAAAATGCCCTTTGAGAATTGAAAAGTAGGTTTAAAAATGCGGGAGAACGCAGCGGTGTGGCCGATGTCATTTCCCATTTCAGCTCCATTGCAGGGTGTAGTTCTGGCCCAGTTTCAGCTGGAGGTCGGTGATGGTCAGGAGCTGGGGATAAAACACAAAATGCACATTTAGCAGCCGAGAACTAAAGATCCACGGTGTTTTCTGTGATCCAGGGAGAAACTGGTTTATTTTAAACTGCAAGAATTTATTCCTTTTTTGTTTTTTTTCTTTTACATTTGTGTTTCTATCACTACAAACACAGTTTAATCATTTAACCAGCACAGATTTGGGAGTCTGACCACGGCTCTCTGACCCCTTCCTTCATCCACTGGCTCTTTTAGAGCCGAGGTTCCTTTTATTTTAAAAATAAAGGGATTTTTAAAAGGCAGCAAAATTTGGAATACACTGCAATTCAACAGTGCATTTGAATTTTTTCCCCCCATCAGAAGATCAACAGCAGAATCTCAGAGATGCTTTTCCTCCTGTCACAGCTCCCAGGTTGCAGGGAAACCTTTAGAGAACAAAATCCACTGCCAGAAATGGCATTAAATGCTATTAAAGAATCATTACCCGATGGCAGATTGTACATCTTTCTGAAATATGGTATATTTTAAATATGGTAGACAGATAAATATTTAAATATGGCAAATATTTTAAATATGGTAAGTATACAAATAATTCAAATATTCTCATATAAAAAATTTAAAGTGCTAATTGTATATAATTGTATAGATATTTTAAATATGGTAAATATCCAAATATTTCAAAAGTTCCAAGTAAAAATATTTTAAATATGGTAAATACATAAATATTTAAATATGGTAAATATACTAATAATTTAAATATCATAATATAAAACTTTAAAGCATTCTAATTACACAGATATTTTAAATACGGTAATTATACAAATAATTAAAATATCCTAATATAAAAATTTTAAAGGTTCTAATTACACAGATATTTTAAATATGGTAAGTATACAAATAATTCAAATATTCTCATATAAAAAATTTAAACATTCTAATTACAGATATTTTAAATATAAATATACAAATAATTTAAATATTCTCATATAAAAATTTTGAGGGTTCTAATTACACAGATATTTTAAATACAGTAAATATACAAATAATTAAAATATCCTAATATAAAAATTTTAAAGGTTCTAATTACATAGATATTTTAAATATGGTAAATATACAAATAATTTAAATATTCTCATATAAAAATTTTAAGGGTTCTAATTACACAGATATTTTAAATATAAATATACAAATAATTTAAATATTCTCATATAAAAATTTTAAGGGTTCTAATTACACAGATATTTTAAATATGGTAACTATACAAATAATTTAGATACCCTAATATAAAATTTTTAAATGTTCTAATGACACAGATATTTTAAATACGGTAAATATACAAATAATTAAAATATCCTAATATAAAAATTTTAAAGGTTCTAATTACATAGATATTTTAAATATGGTAAATATACAAATAATTAAAATATTCTAATATAAAAATTTTAAAGGTTCTAATTACATAGATATTTTAAATATGGTAAATATACAAATAATTAAAATATTCTAATATAAAAATTTTAAAGGTTCTAATTACATAGATATTTTAAATATGGTAAATATACAAATAATTAAAATATTCTAATATAAAAATTTTAAAGGTTCTAATTACATAGATATTTTAAATATGGTAAATATACAAATAATTAAAATATTCTAATATAAAAATTTTAAAGGTTCTAATTACATAGATATTTTAAATATGGTAAATATACAAATAATTAAAATATTCTAATATAAAAATTTTAAAGGTTCTAATTACATAGATATTTTAAATATGGTAAATATACAAATAATTAAAATATTCTAATATAAAAATTTTAAAGGTTCTAATTACATAGATATTTTAAATATGGTAAATATACAAATAATTAAAATATTCTAATATAAAAATTTTAAAGGTTCTAATTACATAGATATTTTAAATATGGTAAATATACAAATAATTAAAATATTCTAATATAAAAATTTTAAAGGTTCTAATTACATAGATATTTTAAATATGGTAAATATACAAATAATTAAAATATTCTAATATAAAAATTTTAAAGGTTCTAATTACATAGATATTTTAAATATGGTAAATATACAAATAATTAAAATATTCTAATATAAAAATTTTAAAGGTTCTAATTACATAGATATTTTAAATATGGTAAATATACAAATAATTAAAATATTCTAATATAAAAATTTTAAAGGTTCTAATTACATAGATATTTTAAATATGGTAAATATACAAATAATTAAAATATTCTAATATAAAAATTTTAAAGGTTCTAATTACATAGATATTTTAAATATGGTAAATATACAAATAATTAAAATATTCTAATATAAAAATTTTAAAGGTTCTAATTACATAGATATTTTAAATATGGTAAATATACAAATAATTAAAATATTCTAATATAAAAATTTTAAAGGTTCTAATTACATAGATATTTTAAATATGGTAAATATACAAATAATTAAAATATTCTAATATAAAAATTTTAAAGGTTCTAATTACATAGATATTTTAAATATGGTAAATATACAAATAATTAAAATATTCTAATATAAAAATTTTAAAGGTTCTAATTACATAGATATTTTAAATATGGTAAATATACAAATAATTAAAATATTCTAATATAAAAATTTTAAAGGTTCTAATTACATAGATATTTTAAATATGGTAAATATACAAATAATTAAAATATTCTAATATAAAAATTTTAAAGGTTCTAATTACATAGATATTTTAAATATGGTAAATATACAAATAATTAAAATATTCTAATATAAAAATTTTAAAGGTTCTAATTACATAGATATTTTAAATATGGTAAATATACAAATAATTAAAATATTCTAATATAAAAATTTTAAAGGTTCTAATTACATAGATATTTTAAATATGGTAAATATACAAATAATTAAAATATTCTAATATAAAAATTTTAAAGGTTCTAATTACATAGATATTTTAAATATGGTAAATATACAAATAATTAAAATATTCTAATATAAAAATTTTAAAGGTTCTAATTACATAGATATTTTAAATATGGTAAATATACAAATAATTAAAATATTCTAATATAAAAATTTTAAAGGTTCTAATTACATAGATATTTTAAATATGGTAAATATACAAATAATTAAAATATTCTAATATAAAAATTTTAAAGGTTCTAATTACATAGATATTTTAAATATGGTAAATATACAAATAATTAAAATATTCTAATATAAAAATTTTAAAGGTTCTAATTACATAGATATTTTAAATATGGTAAATATACAAATAATTAAAATATTCTAATATAAAAATTTTAAAGGTTCTAATTACATAGATATTTTAAATATGGTAAATATACAAATAATTAAAATATTCTAATATAAAAATTTTAAAGGTTCTAATTACATAGATATTTTAAATATGGTAAATATACAAATAATTAAAATATTCTAATATAAAAATTTTAAAGGTTCTAATTACATAGATATTTTAAATATGGTAAATATACAAATAATTAAAATATTCTAATATAAAAATTTTAAAGGTTCTAATTACATAGATATTTTAAATATGGTAAATATACAAATAATTAAAATATTCTAATATAAAAATTTTAAAGGTTCTAATTACATAGATATTTTAAATATGGTAAATATACAAATAATTAAAATATTCTAATATAAAAATTTTAAAGGTTCTAATTACATAGATATTTTAAATATGGTAAATATACAAATAATTAAAATATTCTAATATAAAAATTTTAAAGGTTCTAATTACATAGATATTTTAAATATGGTAAATATACAAATAATTAAAATATTCTAATATAAAAATTTTAAAGGTTCTAATTACATAGATATTTTAAATATGGTAAATATACAAATAATTAAAATATTCTAATATAAAAATTTTAAAGGTTCTAATTACATAGATATTTTAAATATGGTAAATATACAAATAATTAAAATATTCTAATATAAAAATTTTAAAGGTTCTAATTACATAGATATTTTAAATATGGTAAATATACAAATAATTAAAATATTCTAATATAAAAATTTTAAAGGTTCTAATTACATAGATATTTTAAATATGGTAAATATACAAATAATTAAAATATTCTAATATAAAAATTTTAAAGGTTCTAATTACATAGATATTTTAAATATGGTAAATATACAAATAATTAAAATATTCTAATATAAAAATTTTAAAGGTTCTAATTACATAGATATTTTAAATATGGTAAATATACAAATAATTAAAATATTCTAATATAAAAATTTTAAAGGTTCTAATTACATAGATATTTTAAATATGGTAAATATACAAATAATTAAAATATTCTAATATAAAAATTTTAAAGGTTCTAATTACATAGATATTTTAAATATGGTAAATATACAAATAATTAAAATATTCTAATATAAAAATTTTAAAGGTTCTAATTACATAGATATTTTAAATATGGTAAATATACAAATAATTAAAATATTCTAATATAAAAATTTTAAAGGTTCTAATTACATAGATATTTTAAATATGGTAAATATACAAATAATTAAAATATTCTAATATAAAAATTTTAAAGGTTCTAATTACATAGATATTTTAAATATGGTAAATATACAAATAATTAAAATATTCTAATATAAAAATTTTAAAGGTTCTAATTACATAGATATTTTAAATATGGTAAATATACAAATAATTAAAATATTCTAATATAAAAATTTTAAAGGTTCTAATTACATAGATATTTTAAATATGGTAAATATACAAATAATTAAAATATTCTAATATAAAAATTTTAAAGGTTCTAATTACATAGATATTTTAAATATGGTAAATATACAAATAATTAAAATATTCTAATATAAAAATTTTAAAGGTTCTAATTACATAGATATTTTAAATATGGTAAATATACAAATAATTAAAATATTCTAATATAAAAATTTTAAAGGTTCTAATTACATAGATATTTTAAATATGGTAAATATACAAATAATTAAAATATTCTAATATAAAAATTTTAAAGGTTCTAATTACATAGATATTTTAAATATGGTAAATATACAAATAATTAAAATATTCTAATATAAAAATTTTAAAGGTTCTAATTACATAGATATTTTAAATATGGTAAATATACAAATAATTAAAATATTCTAATATAAAAATTTTAAAGGTTCTAATTACATAGATATTTTAAATATGGTAAATATACAAATAATTAAAATATTCTAATATAAAAATTTTAAAGGTTCTAATTACATAGATATTTTAAATATGGTAAATATACAAATAATTAAAATATTCTAATATAAAAATTTTAAAGGTTCTAATTACATAGATATTTTAAATATGGTAAATATACAAATAATTAAAATATTCTAATATAAAAAATAAATATGCTAATTTTATAGCTATTTTAGATATGGTAAATACACAGCCATTTCAAATATGGTAAATATATAAATATTTTAAATACGCTAAATATATCATTATTTTAAATATGGTATCACAGCTGAATCTCTGCAGTTTTAAGGGCAGAAATGCAGGTGGGAAATCATGTTTTTAACCCTTCAAGCAGCATCTCACCTTCTTGTTCCTGTCGTAGGCCACGGTGGGGTTTGCTGGGAGGGTCCCCCCGTTCTGTGTCACCGTCACCCGAGTGGCCTCGCTGGGCACCCCCAGCACCTTGATTTCGGTGAACATCAGGTTGTTTGGGTCGGTGTAATTCTGGTGTGGAACTGTGATCTCCAAAATGGTCTGAAAGGAAGAGGAGAAGACAAATCCCAGAGATTGGGATTAGGCTGGTGCGAGCCCAGAGCAGCCGTGGCTGTCCCTGGGTCCCTGGCAGTGTCCAAGGTTGGACAGACCTTGGAGCAGTCTGGGACAGTGGAAGGTGTCCCTGCCCAAACTGAGGTGACTTTTACTGTCCCTCCCAACCCAAACCGCTCTGTAATCCTGTGAAGTCCACTTGAGCTTTCATTTGCTGTCTTCAGGTTCTTTTTCTGATTTTTTTTCCCCAATACCTGTGTGTTGTTCTTTATTTTTCAAATACTGAAAGCTTAAAATATTCTAACATAAAATATTAGTGTTAACCTGGCCAAACCCTGGGCTCTGCTGTGCTTTCACTGCCGCTCAGCTGATTGATGTGAGGAGTGAAGCAACAAGAAATTCTCCACCCCTGGCTGGGCAGCGAGAGCTGCAGGACAAACCCTTCCTTCCCTGCCCCAGTCTCACCTTCCAGCTGCTGTGGGAGCTGCTCCAGGCTCTTCTCCTCCTGCTTTTTGCCCTCCCAGAGCAGCTCCTGCCTGCCCATCCCCTCCCTCAGCACTCACAGGCCCCCTCTCCTTCACTTATTGTCATTTTAAGTCGATTTTGGATTCCCTTAGGATGCGCCCAGATCCCCCCACAAATGTGCTGTGACATAATTCCGTGTATTTAGTGCTCAGAGGGTGAGTGTTTCATTTTTGGTTGATTCAAGACCTCTGTAATTAGGCTTTTCCTTAACGAGTTTTTGTAAGAGCAGGGAAAGGTGCTTTTATTTTATAATCTCCTTACAACTGCAAATATTGAGTGTTAGCAAAACAAACTCCCTTCCACAGCAATTAACACTCTTATTTGACAAAGACAGAATTAAATGAGAAGAAAGAACAGTGTGGATAAAATTAGGAGACATTGTGGCACACTGGAAAATAATGAAATAAGAAAGTGTGTTTTCTCCTACAACAGAAAGGGCTTTTCTTTTAAGCCAAAAGTCCCTATAATTAGAGCCTAATTTATTTCCACATATTCCAGTGGTTATGGTAAGAAGTGAAATCTGACAATTGTACTTAACAATACTCTTCAGATTCACTCCTCAATTCATTCTTAACAGAGTTTAATCACATTTCTTGTACCCTAATCATCTGTGAGCACGATTTAATGTAAGGTTGGGATATGTAGACATTAAGAAGACCCAAATTAAAATACCCATAGTTAAAAATACAAAAAAAAAAAAAAACCTGAAGTGACTATTAAATAAATATGAGCTAATGAGATTACCTGGTTAGCAGTAAATGATGTCAGCAGGTAAACACCGTCTTCATATGCATCTATTAAAAAGAATGAAAGAAATTTAATAAAATATCTTTGCTGTCCTCCTTATTTAACACATTATCAAAATATCTGCTCAAGGATTGTGCCCATAGACACCTTACAAATATAAGGGATGAATTTATATGTAAATAAGGAGAAGTTTTGCATTTTCAGAAGATGAATGCAATCAGATATAAAATACTTTCAGTGTGTATAAAGTTGAAATGGAGGTGAAAGGAGAACATTTTAGGGTTAAGATATAAAAGCAGGCAAAGAAGTTGCACTAGGAAGATCAGGGGAGTTTAGATGAGGAGAAAAATGTTTCTGTTTCTCGCTGAAGAGCCATTTCCCGCTTGCCCCTGCATTCCCTGTGCAATTCCAGGTGACACCTGACGGTGCTGGTGGCTGCTGCCTCTCTGAAATCACTGTTGGCATTTCCCAGCCCTGTAAATTCAGCTGTGGCTGCCCTCAGAGCCGTGCTGATCTCTGGTTTTGGAGCTCCTGCCATCCCACTCCTGCCAGTGTCACCCTGCGAGATGCTGCTCTCCATCCCTGCAAATTCCATTTATCATCAGATTTCCCCAAGCGTGGCCAGCAGTTCTGGATTCCGGAGCTGCCGGTGGGTGTGGAGCACCTCCAGATCCACCTCCAGCCTCTGCACACTGCCCCCTCCACGAGGGTCTCCATGCAAGGCACATTTCCTGCGTTCCTGATGGGAATCTGGGGCCAGAACTCGTGGTTGTTACAAGGGTGGGGAGGAGAAGCGACAGCTCCGCGTCTCTTGTCTGCAGACGGTTTAAATTTAGCCATGCTGAGGAGATCAGTGAGAGCTCTCACATGATCCATGGTTATGGCTCCCACAGGTTTGAGGAGGAATCTTTGTTATCTGCCTTGCCTCAGGCCCAGGGCACAATTTCATTGGTACAACATATTAATTCTATAAATCACGGCATGGTGTGGCTTCAATCAGGAAGAGTCGTGTTGCTGCAACGCTGCTCTGCAGGTTCCATTTCAGTTCTGCCTCTGAAGGAGAGTTCAGATCTGCCACCCAGAAATGGGGTGCCTTTGGCACGAGTCCATCCCTTCCCTCTGCTCCTCCTCGGACACCCCAGAGTTTGGTCCATCTCTTCTCAATTCACATCCTTGGGTTTGGTTTTATCTGCTTGAATTTGGGTTTTGAATATCCCCAGGGATGGAGCCTCACTTGGCAGTATCCAACCATCCTCACAGCAAAGAAAAAAGGGTTTTAAGAAGGGAAGAAGCCCTGGACGTACCAATGCGAACCCCATCATCCCAATAAAGGTGTCCTTCTGCAAACAGAGCGTCATCCAGGGCCACCGTGAGTCCCATCGGGTTTTTCCGGCTGTGGAAAACACAATTTTCTCTCAATTTCCTCAGCTAATCGCGTTCCATATTCCCCAAACGTTAATTTCTTTACAGAAAAGTTGTGCGCCACCCAACTGGCCTCCCACAGCCATCTTCCCATCCCCTACTGCTGAAGACCACTAGGAAAAAAAAGCCCAAAAAACCCCCAAAAAACCAAATGAAATCTAAAATTTTCACTTCTTCCTACCTGTAAGCAGTTGTATTGGCAGGTCTTTGCCAAGGCAGGATGTATCCACCTCGGATGTGCAGGTTGATGTGCTCCAGAGGAGCTGCTAAATTTTGGAGCTGTCCCCTAAAGCCAGTATCTGTGTCCTATGTACAAAAAAAAAAAGGAATTTTTACCCGGTTTTCCTCCAGAATGAAATGATAATATTCCTCTAGACAGGTTAATTAGGTGTTACTGCAGGAGTAACTGTTAATAAGAGGAACCCTGAAATTTTGGCTCTGTAAAAGCCTGGCCTGCCCATGGGTGATGGCAGCTGAACCAGAGGGGCCAAGTGGATGAAACACAAACCTGTGATTAATGAAGGCAGTTTTGAACCTGCTCTTCCTATTTCCAAATCTTTTTCTGGGAAAAATTACGCAGCTAAAACCCATTTTTTTTTCTTTCTTTATTAGAGCATTCCATTACAAAAACCTTCTGTGTATCATTTGAGGGTTACAAAAAGTGAAAAGAACTCTAAATTAAAGGTATTACTTCACCTTTTCATTTATCATAACTCTGGTCATGTTATTATACATTATTATAAAGGAATCGAGGATTTTTATTATTTCTTTAATCAGCTGAGTAGATTTTATGTTTCTAAGAACTTATATTAAATGCAAATTAGGCAGGAGAGTGTTCCCACCTCTCTGCCACACTCAGCACTGGGAAAAGACAGAAAATACAAGTGTTAAAATACAATTTTTTTGGGATGACTTACCGTGTGGTAATCATACCAGCGGGCATTGGGGAAATACGCGTTCACACTCCGATCACCCTGCAATTAAACACACAAATTTTAGGCACCTCAAATCAAAAAGTGGAGCTAAACCAAACTGATTTTAGGAGTAAATGCTTGAAAGCTCACTTGTTTCATCACAGGGCTGATGAGCAGGGCAGGACCCCAGAGGAACTGCTCGTCGATGTCCCACGTTTTCCTGTCCTCCACAAACCTGTCGGGATGAGACAGCCAGAGCTGAACTTTCCCAAAAAGTTCCTCCTTGAAGACCCTTCTGTCAGTAATTTCACCTATTTCTTCTAGTATCTGTTTCCTTGTTGTTGCTATTAATGACTCAGATCAATTAATATTGCACAAAGATCCAGGCACTCGTTAGAGAAATGCAAATTAGTGCTTAGCTTTGGGGTTTTTTGTCCATTTCTTTGCTTTTGCTTTTCAGTACATTGGGACAACAAAACTCTGAAGGTCTTATGCTTATTATTTACAATAGTAGAATCTCGGACAGACTTTTTAATTTGAGCCACTGTTTTCTGAGTTTCTTCGAAAAAAACAAATCAACACACGCAAAAAACTCAGTTTTTCCCCAGCCAAGACTTGTTTGGTTTTTTGTTTGTTTGGTTTTTTGTTTTGTTTTTGTTTGTTTTTTTATTGAAGGGGGAAATGCTGTAACAAAGAGAGGACTCTGTTGTTAGGGGGACACAACCAGAGGAGTTTTAATGGGAATTCTTTCGGAGGGGAGCAGGGGAATTGCACTTACTCATGGAGAACGGGGCGGATCACGGTGCTGCCGTGGGCGTGGGCGTCGTGCAGCAAGGTGTAGAGGTAAGGTAGCAGGGTGTACCTGATGTTCAGCACATTCCTGGAAATCTCATGAAATTTGGCATCCCAGGAAGCAGGATCTTGCCTCTGAAAGAGAGTGTTGTTAGAGAAGCTGTGTTGGACTGCCTGAGAAAGCTAAAAAACCCAAATCAAAGTAGGAAAATGAACCAAGGAACTTTCTCCGCTGAAGCAGAGCATCTCTGTTTATTTATTCTTCAACTACAGAGCAAGTGAAAACCGTGGCTGTCACTGTCAGCCCCAGGAGGGGAACTAGGAAGAGGAATGCTGGTAAAACCCCAGGGGAAACAGTAAAAATGTTGACTGCAAAGTGTCCCCAAGGTGTGACACGTCCCAGGGTCCATCATCCATCAGCCCTCTGCTCCCACACTCGCAGCAGGACTCCGAGGCAACAAGGACTGGTGCCAGGAGAGCCTCAAATCTTTATTAAATGTATGGAACAATACCTTGGCAAATTGGGTGATGCTGGGAGCACCACGATAACCCCAAATCTGCATTTTGAAGGCTTTCACAGGCCTGTGGAAGGTGTGTGCTGCCAGATAAAGCAGCCAGCTTTGAAAAGGAGACTTTAATCCATTAGATATTTGCCATCTAAATAGCTCCACTCTGCTAGACCTGAAGCTTTCCCTGGAACACAAGTGCTGTTTCCCTTTTTTTTCATTTTCCCAGTTATCTTGTTTTACAGCTTTCTCCACTCCAGTCCTTAGCCTGCATTTAGGCAATTATTCCCCTCTCCTTTTAGCAGAAATACAATAGCTGATGGTGGCAAACGTGCAAAGCACAGAAATTCCTGAGTCTCACTCCAGCATCTTATTACACTGCCCCATTTTCTCATTTGTTGTATAATTATGGGCAATTAGGGCTGAGAGCGCCGAGGTCAGTTCTGTTTCTTGAAGTGTGTTTGCCATAAAATCTCCATTTTAGCCTTGCTGTAGCTCATTGAAATCCAAATGGCACAGAGGAGGAAATGTGTAGGGTTTGATTCAGTGAAAGCAAAGTTGGAACTTCCTTCAAGTGTCCAAGTCCCAGAGCAGCCCCTCTGTGGGCACAAAACCTCCCAGGTGATGGGGAGGCCCACAGCAGAGCCAGCATAGGAATAATGACAATGAAAATTTTCATAGAAATAATGACAGTGAAAAAAGTGTTCTTTTCTCCTCCATTTGACTTGGAATGTACTTTTTCTTTTTTTTGAGCCAGGGCAATTGTGCATTGTTCTGGCTGGTTTTGCCTGTGTGTTGGAAAGGCCCAGCTGCCAAGAATTGTTAAAAAAATTGCAACTCACCCGTGTTCCTTTCTCGTTGTGATTCCTTGAATATGGGTAAAATGCACCCAGCTCCATCCAGCGGGCACACATCTCGTACTCGGCGTCTTTGAAGAAGCCACAGATATCAGCTCCTGTCTGAAATTTTCAGAATAACCCAAATGGAAAACTGTATTATCATGTACAGCATCACAGTAATTAAATATAAGTTAATAACTCATTAGCTTACATAAGATATTCCAAAGAGACTGAACTCCATCATGCCTGAAAAGAGAAATAAATTGGAGTTACTGGCTGGGATTTTTTACATTATGGTTCCATAGACATTGTTTATTACACTACTGAATCAGAAGAGAAAAAACCAAATACAAGCCCCACAATTTCTCTAACGTGTCGTGTTTTCCTGCTACAGAAGGAGATGGGATGTGGGTGGACAGGAGCAGAGGAAAAAATTGAGTGGCAGGACGCAGGGCATGGAGGGGTCTGGTCCCAAGGGAATTAAAGGAGTTCCCAGCACCTGGTACAGAAGGAAGTAAGAAGGAAAATTAGAAAAAGGAATTCAGCACAGATTCTGATTTTTGAACCAGTTTTTTTCAGTTAAAAATCACAGGAATACAAAAAGCCAGGAGGTGGAGGAGAAACAAAGCCAGGTTGGATAATGCTTGGAGGAACCTGGTCCGTGGTGTCCCAGCCATGGCAGGGGTGGAGCTGGATGCGCTTTAAGGTCCCTCCCAACCCAAACCATTCCCTGATTCGGTGATCCCAGGAATGCAAACCCTTCTCCTGGCACGTACCAATAATGGATTTGTGCAGCTGGTCCCAGGCTGCCGTGTTGTCCCCCAGCCAGTGCCCCACCCATCTCCCGCTGCTGGGGTACGTGGAGCGGGTGATGACGATCCCGCGCTCCTTGGTGGCGCCCCGCAAAGCCCTGCGTCACAAACAGACACAGAAACCAGTCACAGGAGAAATGCTGCACGAGAATTCATGGCCTAAGAGCCTCTGAAAAGAAATGTATGGGTTTATGTTATCATAGCAAAGGTATATCATCATATACATCCAATCCACGTGTGCTTTTGGTGGCAATTCAATAGGATCCAGACACAGTCCTGGCAAAGCTGGCCAGCCTGGAGCTGCAAAGAGAACTGCCAAACAAGGAGGGATTAAAAAAGGAGTTTTCCAGTTCAGGCTAGCTCTTCTGTGGGAAAATAGGAATGTAGCAAAACTTTCCAAGCTCACTTTCTAAGGGCTCCACAATGTATGCGTCATTCCTTCTTACAGCATCTGAAAACTTGAAGCAACAGTTGGATTCAGCAAAAATCCAACCCAAAGGCTCACAAGAGTGAAAAAAGAGGTAGCAGGAATATTGGATCTCTCAAGATAAGTTTAGTTGACTTTAAGGTGTTGAAATAAACAAAAAAAAAAAGAAGATTCAGGGATTTGTAGTCCCTTCTGAAAGACCAAGGTGACAGGATATCAATATGAATATTAGTCAGAAAATCACCCTGATTAAATCCCACTGCTCTCCACTATAATTGCCTAAACTGCTGCTTCAATAAGGCACTATTTACTTATTTTTCTATAGGATTTGCAGCTTTAGTGACACCATAATTACAGCAAAGACACACAAGTCACTTAAATTACCCCAGCAATTAAACCAGACTAATGTGCCACAATTATTTCCTCCGGGACAAACAGTAACTTCTCTAGGATATTTTATTCCTTTGTAGCATATTTTCCAACACTTTAATTCTCTGCTTGCTTTCCCTGTGTCAAGAATGCCTTGGAAGTGGCAGCTAAAATTTCCAGAGTGAAGACAGCAAATATCACGTGTCAAACTGCTGAGGGATGAGCAGGACCTGAGTGTTCTGTGGCTGGAGGCTCAGGCCTGCAGCTCCATGGCTCTACCCATGAAAAACAATTATTCAGGTCACAAAGGCTGAATTTACCTCCAAACAGTTCCTGTGTTCACTAATGAGGGCTCTAGCTATGCAAAAACCTCATTACAAAAGAACAGCATCAAGGAAATATCCCGAAGTTTCTGTGTCTGATGGATGGAGAACTGAAATGACTCCAGGTTACATAAAATACCGATGTTCACTTTTCAGTTACAGTCTTTCATGAGTTTTGTGTGCAAATAATCTTTCTGTTTGGATGGTTTAGTATCAAAATAAATTATTGCTTTTCTTCAGTTGCACAAGTACCCCTTCAGTTACTGCCAAAAAAATAAATTTGGGACTGAAATATATGTATATATATATATATTTTGGAGATAACATTTGCTATAAATTTCCAGTGTGAGAATATCTGTGTGAGCTGAGAGATTTATTGTAGTGATTTCTGTTGCAGTGCCTCGCAAAAGAGAGGAGAATATTTCAGTTCATACTTAAAACACAGAAATGACGGCGATATTCCTTTTCCCATCAAATTCTTGTCTACTCCACTGGGCTTGCACAGCTGGGTTTTGGCAGGGGTGGCTCCAGTGAGAAAATTCTGAGGCTTCCTCATTTCTGATGGAGCCAAGAGGGACCTGCCCCTGGCTGAGCCCATCAGCAGCACTGGGTGACTTTGGGAAAACAGGAATAACAAAGGGAAAATGTAGCTCCCAACAGCAGGTGGAAAGAGAGAGGGAGAGAGGGGTGGGGATGTGTGGGAGCAGCAGCCCTGCAGACCCCCAGGCCAGTGCAGAAGGGTCAGGAGATGCTCCAGGCTCTGGAGCTGGGCTGTCCCTGCAGCAGAGGGAGCTCCAAGGGGGAGCACAGATCCACCTGCAGCCCCTGGAGGATGCCCAGAGGAAGTTGTGAGCCCTTGGGATGCCTGTGCTGGATTCCTGCAGGAAGCTGTGGAGCCCTGGAGAGAGGAGGAGGGGAAGAGAAGGGGGAGGAAAGAGCAGTAGAGACAGCGGTGATGGACTGGCTGCAACCCCTGCTCCATGTCCTCCCCACCTCTGCTGGACAGCAGGTAGAAAATAGGGAATGGATTAGAAAAAAAGTGAAGACTTGGGGGAATTAAGGTCGGGTTTTGTCATTGTCCTCTCTGATTGGATTTCCACAACTGAGCTGTTTTGCCCGTGGCAGTACTTGGTGAGTGGTCTCTCCCTGTCCTTACCTCAGTCCATGAATCTTTCTTTATACTTTCTCTCCTCTTCCCAGCTGAGCAGGGACGAGTTGGAGGGGCTTTGGTGGGCACCTGGAGCTCAGCCAGGGCCCAACCCACCACATTTTGTGGTGCCCAAATCCCATCAGGCTGGGCTGGCAGCACAAGGATCAGACATTCCCTCCTCTCCTGTCAGCAGTTTCAGCCTTGCCTTGGCTGGCAGGGCTGCACTGGCACGCTGCCAGTGGAGCATCCTCTCCCAAATCCAAACAGCCCTGATATTTTCCCTCTTTACAGGAATATCAAAGTTACCCAGGGCTTTAAGGTCGTTGAGACGTGCACAGAAAATCTGTGCCTTGCTCCCTGGCTGAAATGCAAATGGAACAGCCCAGCCCTGCCACCACTGGATTGGGAGTTGTCTAAAGCAGGCTGGGGACAATTCAGAGGGACAGATAATGACATTGGCCTGGGAACTGGGAAAAGAAATGCTTCAAAGTAAAGCTTTGTGCTCACACTTTGCATTTTAAAAGTCACCACCCCCCCTTTTCACTTTGTTTTAAATAGAGAACATAATCGAGCCCTCCTGAAATTCACACGACTGAAAAACTGTCTTCATTTTCCCTCGCTGGATGTGAAGTGTGAGGAAAACCAGAGCAAACCAGGCAAGCCCAGCAACGCCCAGAAACAGTAATTATGTGATGTTTAATTATTAGGAATTCTGTGCAGAAGGGATTTATTGCAGTGGAACCATGGAAGCACAGCTTCAGCTCAGCCCTGCACAGACCCCCCTCCCCTTCTCCTGCAGCTCTGGTCCCACCACCCTTCCTGCACCAAGGGGTTGATCCCTGACTGGAACAACTCCAGCAGCTGCTCAGTCCTTGGAGCATCCAGCCCCTCTTGGAGCTGGATTGAAAAACCAAATTGGTCAGAGTGAAGAGAAGGATCGCTCAGGCATCTTAAATCAACCAGTGGAAGTTTTTTAGGAATGTAGACATGGAATATCCATTTGGAATGTGTTTTGGAGGCAGCATGGAATATGCAAAGCACTTACTCCAGGCTGGGTCTGGCTTGGGACCATCCATAAAGGTTGTGGACATCGTAGTGTCTGACTGGGGTCCCGTCTGCGAGGTAGTGCTGACCTTCCATGCATGGAGTTTTGTGGATTAATCCTGTTGACCTATATCCCAAATCTTGTGGAAAGGGAAGAAATGTATTTATTATTAATAACAAGCACGTGTTAATCACTTGAGTTATTTTTTCTTAATTTTCATAATCTTGTAGGCATGCAGTCTCTTTATACTGTTGGTTATTTATTTATAATTATCAAAATAGCATTTCCAAAATGGAATATTTCCAATATTTCTCTGCAGGTATCTGGGTTTGTGAATGTTTTAATAGGTCAGTTACAGATGCTCTTACTACAGAGGCTCAAAGAATAAACAGTATATCAGAAAATATCTCAAATCTTTTTAAACACTGTCACTCTAACCACATAAACAGAAAAATGGGTGTGGTGGGGATATGATCTGTGCCTGAATATTAATTTCCTGGAAATTCCTGAGAAACCACTCGTGAAACCTGAATAGAACAGTAAGCAGTGAGAGTATGCTAATAAACCATTAATAAATAATTCCTAATTAGTACTACTTTACACCAGTACTTCAGGAAAGCCGAGCTAAGAAAGCGAAGCATTTCAAGCATTTGAGTGCTCACATAAATGGTAATGAGAGGAGACACGTGGGTATTTTCTAAATATTTAATTAATTGCATTATTCATCTGAGAAAACTGCAAAACAGAGAGCTCAGTTCTCTGCCATGCCTCAAGCAAAGCACTTAGGCACAAAATAGGGATCAAAATCCATATGCAGGGAGGAGCTGGAAAGAACTTTGTAAAAATAAAGTGCTGCACAGCTCCTGCTGAAATATCTGGGCTTGTAGTGGCCCATAATCTCAGGAATAAAGGGCCACGTTCAGTGAGGAGCCGTGGGTTTATAAACCCATCTTTATTTCAGCTTTTATGCCCCATACACCAGATAAGAATTCATGTAGGAACCAGAAAAACCTGAGACTGTTTTAAGGAGGGATCAGACTTACGAGGCATGTAGGGAGGATTATTTAGGAGGTCATTCTTACAGCCACCTATGGCGCCATTCATAAAAGCTGCTGGTTCATTCATGTCCTTAAAAAGACAGAGCAAAACCCCTTAGTTTGCTACAGAACACCATAAATTGTGAATTGCACACGGGCAGCGTTGCAGGGTTCCTGAGGAGCCCCTGAAGATGCAGTCTCAGTTGGACATCCCATGTTCCTTAAAGGGGCTGACAAAAAGGCAAGGAAAGGATTTCCCATGGGGGCATGGAGTGACAGAAAAAGGGGGATGGCCTTGAGCTGAAGGAGGGCAAGATTAGGTGGGATATTGGGAAGGAATTGTTCCCTGTGAGGGTGGGGAGGTCTGGCATGAGGTGACCAGAGAAGCTGTGGCTGCCCCTGGAAGTTCCCAAGGTCAGGTTGGACAGGGATTGGAGAACCCTGGGATAGAGGAAGGTGTCCCTGCCCATGGCAGGGGGCAGGAATAGAAGATTTTTAAGATCTCTTCCAACCAAGGCTATTCTGTCATTCAACCACTTTTTGTTTCAAGGGAACAACCTCTAAGATCATGAAGACCAACATTTCCTTAATGGGAATTTAACACAGGATACTTCTGCCAGAACAGTGCAGATCTGAGAATTAGGAACTGGGGTCCCCTCCAGCAGTGTCAGGCAGAGAAGGACAATCCAGAAATCAGATGCATTTCCACACTTACGGTCCACAGCCCATCAAACTTGAGGCTTTTTGAGGGATCGGGATTGTCGTGGACCTCCAGGATTTCCCTCTTCCACCACTCCATCGTGGAATTGCGGAAGAAGTCTGGGAAAGCACAGTGTGCTACATAGGACTGTAAAAACAGAAGGAAAACGAGACAGATAAGGGGGCTGAAGGTATTCCATAGTTAAAATTCTGGAATTAAAAATAAATAAATAAATAAAGACAAAAAAATCATGGCTTGTTCACTAATTTTTTTGGCTTTTAGGAAGGCTTAGTTGCAGTTTCTGCAACTTATTCATGCCATGAGATTTATCAATGAGTTTGCTATTTTAATTGATGAGTGTCTATATTTGAGTCCAGAACCAAACCATGTCAGTATTTACCTCTACTAGTTCTTCATGAGACAGTGACTCATTGATTTGGACATTGGGAAGAAACGACCAGACCTAATAGGACAGAGAATATTTAAAATAATCAAACCACACTAAATACAAACTGAGCATCAGCAACACACAGGTTTAAATACTCTTCCCTGGACAGTACCTTGGAATATAAAATTTCTTTGGTATCAGGCCATTGTACGAAGACATTATCGGCCTCACCTCTGCTGAAGGCAGGATAATCGGTTTCATTCCCAGAAATGGCTGGATCCTGCAATTAGAAACACTCTTACCCTTGTGCCCAAAAATTGATGTTGGATATATTCTCAGTTTTATGATGCTGTGTTGGGATTTAAAAGCAATATTCCAAACTGACCAGGATAATGATAAATCTCATTCCTTCTGCTTTGATTTTGTTGACCAGAGCGGGTAATCCAGCAAATTTTGATGAAATGGTGAAGTCCAGGTTTCTTTCCATGTAGTCAATATCTGTATATTGGACATCCTGCAGTTCAAAAAAAAAAAATCCAATTAATTTTAAAGTATTTTCTCCCCTTTTTTACCAAATATTGGAAATCAGCCAAAATAAGTTAAATGTGGAACTTTTGATGTGTAAAATTGGAAGCAGTGGTAACTTCAGGCTGAAGTTGTTAAATGAACAACACACAACCTATGAGCAGGTCTGAACCAAAATAAACCTTTCACTGCTGCATTTAAACTAAGGGGAGAAATTGATAAAAATAGAGAAAAAAATGGATTTTTCTGTACATACATACACAGAAACTGCACCTATATTTCCATAGCTATAAGGAAACAAGAGAAATAGTTGTTCTCTATTGAAACATTGATATTATTACATTTAAATTATAATTATATTATATTTAAATTATAATCATATTATATTTGAAATGAAGCTACATTCAATTTATTTAATATATAATTTCGTTAGATCTAGGTGCTATTACTACTATTCCCAACAATTTAAATTATTTAATATATAATTTAGATATTTTGTATTATATATTTTAATATATTTAATATATTAATATATAATTTTGTTAGATCTAGGTGCTATTACTACTATTCCCAACAATTTAAATTATTTAATATATAATTTAGATATTTTGTATTATATATTTTAATATATTTAATATATTAATATATAATTTTGTTAGATCTAGGTGCTATTCCTACTATCCCAACAATTTATTTAATTTATTGACTATATAATATATATATTTTATATTATATATTTTTAAAATATATTTAATATATAATTTTGTTAGATCTAGGTGTTATTCCCAACAACAACCTGTGCCAAATCACAGCAGACTTGACACAGAGCATTATGGCAATGAAATTATGCTGCTTCATTTTTTTCCCCTGCTGTTTTTTCTTAATCACTGCTCCTCCCTCTCATTCTTTGGTGTGAACAATAAAGAAAATTAAGCAGCTTTTAACACAGCCCAGAGTCTGTGGCACAAAACCTGCTCTTCTCTACCACAGGGGTTAATATAAGGGTTGGTATACTGGACTAAAATCTCATTTTTTATGCCTTAGAATGGCAGTTTTTATACCTACATGCAGTACTCACAACTTTGTCTCAAAGAGACTTTGTGCTCTCCCTGACAAAGTTGCTAATAAATTTTAATATACTTAATCTTTAAAACTGGAGATTATATATGAAAGTCTCACACCATAATGGGGGTTTTTTCTTGTTGGTTTGGTATTTAAAAGGATTTAGTCAATGCTAAGAAGCCAAAAGCTCAGATGTTGTTTTCTCCCAACGTACGTAGGGAATCTGAGCCGCCTTCATTTCCTCCACGACCTGGGCGACCTCCGCGTCGTTGGCGTATCCGTAGCGGCACAGCTGGAATCCCAAGGACCAGTAGGCTGGCATGACCGGGCGCCCAATCAGCTGGAGAGGGGAAAGGGCGCTCGTGGTGAGGAGGGGAAGAGAAACCAAACCAACCCCCCAAAGCCCAGCCTTAGTCAGGCTCCTACTTCAGTGTATTCCTGGACCACGAGCTCGGGAGTCGGGCCCAAAACCATGTAGAAGTCGAGGATCCCTCCGATGGTGCGGTAGGTCAGGGCAGGGGTGGGCTGGAAAGTCACATCTGGAAGTGGAGGGAAGGAAGTGAGAAAAGGATGCCTGGATTTGCCACCAGTGCAAAACACTGACTGTAGAAACAGAACACACGGATGAGGGTGGAGAGAGTTCACAAAGCTCCCTGGACAAGGGGGAACGGCTTCAAAATGACAGGGAGGAGGCAGAGATGGGATATTGGGAAGAAATTGTTGCCTGTGGGTGGGGTGAGGCCCTGAGGTTGCCCAGAGCAGCTGGGGCTGCCCCTGGATCCCTGGCAGTGCCCAAGGCCAGGCTGGACATTGGGGTTTGGAGCAGCCTGGGACAGGGGAAGGTGTCCCTGCAGGGGCGTGGAACAGGAGGAGCTTTAATGCCCCTTCCAACCCAGCCCATTTAATTTTTCATGGAATAAATTAAAAGTTTTCTTACCCATTGCATTGCTGTTAAGCAAGAGAACTCCGTGGGCATTGCTATCTTCTTCAAGAGCCATATAAAATGGGTGAAAACCATAGGAATTCATCATGTACTGCAAATAAAATAAAATACATTTTACTGGGGAAACATTGCAAACATTCGCTTTTTAACATTTAGTGATAAAATTAATGAAAGAGGAGACAATTGCCAGACATAGCAAATAAACTTTAAATTTATACACCTAAATCTTACCTAACCAAAAAACAGACCTGCAGAAGGGCACTCGGAACATCACAATTTGTTGAGCTTCCTGCTCAGGCAGGAAGGAAAGCAAAGGTGTTGCTGCACTTAAATTTCACTAGAAGGTGCTTCCTCAGGACAAAACTTTCCCTTCTTCACAAACAGAACCATGTCTACGTGCTCAGGAGGCGCTGGTGACATTACATTTAATTTTCCCAAAATGTTTTACAGCCTGAACTGGAAGTTAGAGCTATAATTAGCTGCTGCTATTTTGTTGGCCATTCCCTGATAATTGGAAATCTGCTATCTTGCAGGAAATAAGACAAATAAACAGAGATAAGATTTCTGCTTCACCCGTGTAAGTACTAAATTAATCCCCAAGCAACAGGAATTGTTCTGACTCATGTCTAATTTTCAAAACAATGAGCTGAGAAGAATAAAAAACGGAGGAACGTGCTGCTACTCCTAAGTTATCTGTCACCTTCCCATATCTGAGAGCCTGAGCTCCTCACACTGTTCTTGCAGGTCACAAATAATGGCTTTACAGAATCCCCTTGCCATGGAGACACCATCTAAACTGTGAACTGTGGTCAATATGGTCAGAGGCAATGCCCAGGTACCAGCAGACATCCACCGGATTTTAAAGTCATTGCTGAACATTTTTGCACTCATTGGTTCAAAAAAAAAATCATATTTTCTTCTTCTTTGCCTACTCACAGTTGGAGGCTGGTCCCTGGTGAACATCCCCCAGGTGTTCCAGCTCATGTTGTGTCGGAACGTGGGGTGCTCGGCCTCTCCGAACCCGTAGATGTACTGGGACGCCAAGCGGGTGGAAATCTGGATGAACATGTCACTGAAGGTGAAGGTGGGCAGGCCTGAATTCCAGCTGAAGAGGGAAGAGGAGAGGGAAAATAAGAATAAAATAAGAATAGAGCGTCCTCAGGGCTGTGTTTCTGGGCTTTCTTTTGGGCAGCTCTTTTTCTCTGGAAATCTCACGCTTCAGTAAAAGTGGACTACAACTCTCGTGGTTGTCAAGGAAACTTAAAGGACGTGAAATGGGGGTGTCTAAGAATTGCTGAGGAGTTTAGGGACACAAAGTCCTCCGAGTCTCTCAGAGAGGAATCGCACACAGGCATCGTGCACTGCAAGTTCCGTCGTATTTTAGCAATTTAGTGAGAAAATGCACTTCAGCACACTACAGTCCTATTTTCCTCCCAGACTGGAGCCACATGGAATACACTAAATAAAGTGCTTTTTACAGTTCACTGAACTTTCTGTGCAGATTACACTGAAATTGCATTCACAGGTCATATTTATTATAAATCAGCATCTTTCCAATTAGAAATCAAACTGCAGCCTGGTGGGCTCTGCCAGAGAATTCCATTGTTCCAGGAGTTTCATTTGCAGGTTGAGTTATTATTCTGGTTGGCAAAAGAGAACTCAACTCGCAATTGAGTTTTGAGTACTTTAGAAAAATGAATAAAATTGGGTTTTTTATTGAATAAAAAACAAGACACTCAACTGTTCTCTGCTTTCCAAATCTGACTTAGTCAAGGAAAAACGGAGCTCCTGCCAGACTCATCTGTCACGTTACCAAAACAAAAATTTCAAGTTAGTTGGGACACTACTTCTATATTTTTCCCCAAAACTGACCCAAATGGTCAATCCTTAATAAACAGTGCTGTGGTCACCTAAGGAGTATTTTAGGAACTGTATAAAATGATTTTGCCTCCCAGAAACTTGGGAAGCGCAGAAGGAGCTTGAGAGCTGCCAGCGCTCTTCACTCCCAACACAAAGAACATTTAAAATAATCACACAGAGAGGCTGTGCTTATTCAAAATAAGCACAGAGAGAAAAAAGCTGGCAGGAAGGTGTGAAATGAAAGAGCAGGAAGGGGCAGTGGCTTACATGACTGTGCCCGTGCTCTTGCGGTGCACTTGGATGCCGAAGGGTTTGATCTGGACCAAGACGTCGTAGAGCCGGTCCTGGCTGGAGCTCGTGGGGGAGCTGGGCAGGTTCAGGGGCACGGGGACCTCGTATCGTGGGCTTTGAGGATCATAGATCTGTCAAGCAGAAACGAGTTGATTTAAACAAGACAGTTGTTCTGAAAGCTGGATCTGATACAAATTGTAAAACGCTTGCTGTGGTATTTTCTTTCAAATGCGTATTCTTGAACCGGTTCTTTCACAAGATTTTGTTGTGGGGTGAAGAATCCCAACCAATGAACCTTAAAGATTTATTGTGGCTCAGGAATGGCTCATCTAATTAACTACATGAATTTAAAGTATATATTTATATTTAAAATATAGGTGTATATACTTTGCAAGTGTGATAATTAATTTTCTAGTTCATCTTTTACTCAACTTTTAGGGTTCTTTTTCAGGTTTTCTGTATTTTGAAAGTGGATAGAAGTTATTTTTTGATGTTTGACCACTTAGCTCAAAATTATATTATTTATATTATATATCTAAATATAATTATCATGTTATTAAAAACATGGCAATAAATTACAGTTAAACAACAGTGCTTGTAAAATTTTGGAATAGAACTGCAATGCTGGATGTAAAAATAAACTGTAGTCATGAGAGACTTACAGATAAATTTACCTGTAGATTAACAAAATACTTCCAGTTTCAAAGTTCCTGGCTGACATTACATACATACACTGACATTATACCTTTGATTCATGCAATTTCTTTGTAAAATTGAGAGCTAGGATTCTAGGATGAAAAAAAGATGCAGGCTAAGAGCAATAATAATTGGTTAGAAGGAGAAACATATTCACACAAGGCTGCTTCTGTCTGGGAAATATAAATTTGGCTCCAGGAAGACCTTTGAGTTCCCATAAATAAAACATTCGAGGAATTCTGGGATGGCATTACCTTAAACTGCAGCATGTGGTTGTGATGATATTTCACCTCCAGGCCCAGGGTGTTGATTGGGGCAGTGAAATCCTCGTTGGCTCTGACCTTGCTGTCTATGGTGAGGGTGGCTTTGATTCCAGTGGAGGAATAATTGAGGCTGGATACGTAGTAAGGGTTGTTGGAGCTGTAATAGCAGGAAGGAACGCCTGGTTTTCCTGTCACCTGGTGCAAACAAAAAGGAGTTTCAGTTCAGAGAGTCAGCTGGATCTTTTTTATTAGGTATTAGCATGGAATCCTTCTTTTTATCAGATCTGTGGCAAATGTAGAATTTTTTTTTGTGAAATTAATGGAATCCTGAATAAAGAAATATTACAGAATAATCTCTGCCCTGGCTCAGGTGTAATGAAGCCATCCTGTGAAGGCTGTACAAATAGCTCAGTCAGGAAACGGAATCCTCGTGCAATGAAGATGGATTTAATTTCCCCATCTCTGTGATTTTCAGATCAATCCCTCAATGCGGTTTAATCTTGGCTTGTGGAAATTCCTAAAGCTTCGTCCCTTTTAATCCCATTGCTCTCTGGCTGCCTTCAAGGAGATGTGCCCAAAACCCATTTCATACCCAGGCAACATCAGAGCAGATCTTCCCACTGCCTTTATTCACACAAATTATCCTTAATACATCCAGTGAAAATTACATCTTACTCATCTGAGATCTCCTGACATTTCCAAATGTCTCAAATTACAAAAAATTCTTTTAGCACTGCAACAAAACCAGAGCAGTTCTGTTTCAGCAAGGTGCTGGTGCAGGAGCAGCCAGCACAGAATTTTGGATTTCATTCCTATAGGAAAGGCCCAAAAATGGGCATTTTAGATTTAGAAGAACAGGGAATAATTGAGTTGGAAGCACCCTCTGAAGTTCAACCCTGCCAGGCCATGTTGCTCTCACATGTTTATTAATAATTAATTAATAAATAATTGTATTGAGAAATTAATACAATAAATAATAAAATAATTTATAATATTAATTCATGAAACCACGTGTCAGTGAGCTTCATGTCAGAGATAAAGGTTTGGAAATAGCTCCTTGATGTAGATATAAACAAGTTCACAAATTAATCAAGTTTTTTTGTGGAATTCAAGGATTTCCTCTCAAACTGAGATCCAGAGGAGTTAATTTGACTTAAAATGTCCCTGAGTGACCTTGAAGGTGACACAAGGGGCTGAGCCCTGCAGGCCATGGTGCCACTGAGGCAGAAGGGGCAGCTGAAGATGTTCTTCCACTTTTTCATAACTCTAATATTATTTCTGTTCATCTTTCAAAAAATACCTCATTTTCCCTCAACTCCTGATATAATCTGGTACAATTTAAATGGTTGTCAGCTACTGAGGTAAATAAAATCCATCAGTACCATTTTATTTAAACCTGACTGATCTCCCAGACCACTTTTATTCTGTAACAACCACAAAGGAAAACCTTTTATTCTGGATTTTTATTTTTTTATTTTTTTTTTTGTCTAATTAGTTTAGTGAAATAATGACTTACTTCCCAGGAGCAGCCACGTTGTTCACATTTTTCTTTTGTTGGGTCAGGGCTGGGATAACAATCAAATCTTTCATTGAGAGCCACGTTTAGAGCCCATTTGACTGTGTAAGATTTTCCCAGTTCAAGCTGAAGTCCTCTTATAACAGCAACCTTATAAATATGAAAGAATAAACAGTTATTAAATGTCACATCCCATCCAGCTTTCCTTCAGTCAGAAGAGGTGCTGGTCCTTAAGAATAATACACTTAAAAACTGAAAATTTACAAAATCCCATCTGGTAAGTTTTGATACAGTTTCACTTTTACAAACACACACAACTGATATTTTTACAGATAAAATCTGAAGAATTAAGAGTCTAAAAATATGGAGTTAATCCCACAGCTTCCTTGGAAGCCAACAGGAATAAATACATGAAATAAGCTGTCTGCTGCACCACGAGCATAACTTAGATGCACTTACATGCAGCAGAGTTGAGTGTAATTGTACTTTTATTCTATAATAAAATTCACATTGTATTTCATTGAAACAACATTGGCACTGGGTACTGTCCTTTGCAACACATAACATAAAGTTGATGCAATTTTAAATATGTTTACTTTCCATTTTCCTGTTATTGCTTTACCTTTCTGGCAGAATCATAGGTGGTATTAGTGGGATAATTTTGTACAACGTTGTTCTGAGACACAGAAACTGTTGTTATTTCGTGGGGCAATCCCAATATCTTGATTTCCTCGAATTTCAGGTTGTTTGGATCACTGTAGTTGCTGTGTGTCGCAGTCATTTGTAGAGCATTCTGGAAAATAACACAGTGGTCATATTCTTATTTTAAAAATCTGCCAAAAATCCTCCTGATTTACCAATTTTTTTCTATTAAGATTTTCACATTGTAGCCTAAATAAACCAATATCTTTTCCCACACAAATTAATTATTGCTCTGCTTGGTGTTACCACAACAAAGCTTTTCTACCACGTAAAAAATAATTTTCAGAGTCATGTTTCGGCTTTATTTTTGCCTTGCTTGAGAAATAAAGAAAAGCTGGGGTGGGTCTGTGACAGGGCAGATAAACTCCACCTGTCTGGGTTCCAACAACCAAACCAAGAACCAAAGGTTCTCACTTCTCTTGATATAAAAATACCACTTCCTATTCCATGCCATTAATTATTTTTAGATTAGGAGTCCAAGCAGAGGAATTGCGCCGTGGCTGTCTCACGTGTGTGCAGGACTTCCCTCCTGCTCTCCACAGGAACACTGAGGTTAATTGTTAATTCAAATGTCATCACAGTCATGATTTCACTGCTGGGGTTTCAAACTCCAACAGCAACAATATCTACAAATGCTTCTCTGATTAATTATGGTTTAAATAATTACTGATTCATGCGCTTCACTCGTGTTCCTCTGCCTTCTCTCACTTGGTTCATGCTCTTTCATCATGGGAAAGGAATGAACACTTTTACCCAATATTCATATTATTATTATCATTGTTGTACAAATAATGTGCTATCATGCCATTTGCAACCCTTGTTTATGTGATAGTTACTGCCAATGTTGGATGGAAACACTATCACAGCTCCACCCTGATGTCAATTAACCCTGCAAAGGCGCTTCCACCTAAAAATAACACAATAAAACTTAACCCTGATGTAGTTTCTGAGGGCTCAGGCAAGGTGTGGGTCTCCCTCACTCTTTGGAGCCATTCAGCTGTATTTTCACTGTATAAAAATATACATTTTTTACAGTGCCTCTGTTTTGAGAATCACAAACACTCCATGCTTCTCCTTTTTCACTCTGTTTTAAGTGCCTCTTAGGCTTTAGAGCTTTCTTGTTCAGTAAATATTGCTGCTGAGTTTATTATGTGGAAGGAAAAAGGAGTTATTTAGATATTTGTATTAACTAGGAGGAAAAAAACCCAACAGATTTCATCCCAGTTAAATGAGAGTATTTTGAACATGATTCCTTTTGGCTTTGGCAAATGTTTTGTTTTCCAGCAAAGCTTACAGGACAATAAAGAGAGAAAAGAACACTCTTGAAAGATATCGGATAAAAATCAGGAAAATAAGATTATTTAAAATCAAATACTTACGTTGGAAACTTTAAATTCATAGTAAATGTAGGCTTTATTCTGAATTGTACCTAGAAGGTAAAGAAACAAGTTACACTTGGAGTGCAGAAAAGAATAAAATTAAAGTAGAGACCATTAAACTGTTAATTATCAGGACTGCAGTCAAAGCTGCACTAAGCAACTCAAATATTTATTAATGTTTCTTTGAGGAACTGAAATGTCCCTTTTTCCTTTGGCCAGTCTCCCAGGAGATACAATTTTTTTTTCACAAAAATTCATTGAAATCAGCTCTTCTAAAATGTAGTGATTTTTAATTCTACTGCTATTTCTTCTTAGTTTGTCTTAGATATAAAAGTTTTGATCAAAGCTAATCCTTTAACATAACCTAAATAAGGATTTTTCGTGCAAAAATAACAGTGGTGATGACAATAAAAATGATAAATGCCATGGAACCATAAGAGAAGAAATAACACATGATCAGGAAAAATAAATAGAAAATGTGGTCAGTTTGGCTTTTTTGTTTTGTTTTGTTTTTTCCCACATACAAAAAGACAAATCCTGACAATGGTTCCCCTATAAAACTGCAACCTGTAAGTTTTGGGCAGGCCATAAAATGATGCAATGTTTTATTGCTCTGTTTGGCAGCAGCAGTGAGGGCAGTAATGGCTTTGTTATTTTAGGCCAGGGGAGCACTGGAGCTGCCACCCCCATGCACAGCAGCCACCCAAGGCCTGCTGGATTTATGGCAGCAATAATCAGCTGAATCACTGCTCTACTTCTTAAAAGCAGCCCCGACTTTCACTAAATTCCAGAAAGCAGAGGCTCGGGAGGTTTCCTGGGAGATATGACTGGTATAGCCCACAAGAAAAAGGTGTTGGACAAGCGGAATGCATAAAGATTTCCAATATTGATGCTCAAATACCTCCCTGGATGGGCAGTGGTTTGCTTAAATCCCATGGGAAAACCCTGTCACCTCATGACAATCTAAAGATTTCTCCTGAAAACCAGAGGTTTGACCTTAAAGTAGAGCCTTGTGTCTTTGTCCTTTGCTTGTGTCGAATTAACTTGCGACTTCAATCTTACATTAAATAATAGTCACAGTTTTCTACTTAAAAGTGATGAAAACCATTTGATTTACGAGCAAGTAGCAGCAGTGCGTTGCAATGTCTTCTTTTCAGCAGGAACTTTTAAAATCTGAGTTTGTCAAATCTTTGTTAACCATATTTATTTCACTCCTGATGACTGCTCACCTGTAGATTCTCCATCATCCCAGAACAAATCCCCGGAAGCTTCACTGTTGGTATCCAGGGCAATTATGAGTCCCATTGGATTCCTGCGGCTGTGGAAGGAGATTTATCTGCATAACAAACATCTAAACATTCTTGATGCATCCTCCATGTTCATGTAAGTGTGAAACACCCAAAAGGGTCACAATTCTTGGAGAATTGCATTAATTAAGTCTAATCCTTGGTTTCCTTTCGTTTTCATGCAAATGGATTAAAATACCCTGTGAGTTTAGAGATTTCTATGCAAAGAATTCATCACTAAAGGAGTGGAAGTGAGGTTTGGCTCACACCTATTCCCACATTTCAAGGTGAAAATCATAAATACAATGAGCTGCTATTATTTGTAACCTAGAAGTTCTCAGCCCCGTTACGGGGGAAAAAAAAAAAGTTAAAATTGTTCCATTTGGGATCCTACCTTGCCACTGTGGTGGTGGCTGGATTCTGAGTAGGGAAAATGTATCCTCCTCTCAGGTGCAGCCCCATTTTATCTGCTGGGGTTTGTATCTCATGCCACACTTTCCTTAAAAGGACTGGTTCACCCTTATGGACAGAGAGTGAAAAGAGAACAGGAATTTTGTATTACTGCTGGGTGTTTTCTTAAGTCCTGAGTTTCATCAAATTGTTCCTTAGATAAAAAGCTTATGTTATGTAAATATCTATGTGTTGATGGGCACATAAAATAAAATAATTGCATATCATTATGATTTAATGTCAATCTGAGCCCTTTCTTGAGGCACCAGTTCTTGTACTCATCCAACCACCCTCCATCCCTTGTCTCCCAAATAACCCCAAAGTCTTTCCTTGCGTCTCTGTCCCCAAAGCAGGGCTGACAATCCTATTTCATCACAATCCCATTTAGAAAATGGTGTAAAATCCCATAATATCCCCTGCATTTCCTTACCGTGTCATACTCGTACCACTCTCCCTCAGGAAAGAAGACACGAGTGGACTCCGCACCCTAAAAGGGAACAAAGAAACAACTCTCATATTTCAACTTAACCAGATAAACTCAATTTTCCAATAAAGCTGAAGTTCACGGCGAGGAAATCATTGATATTTCTACGCTTGGCTGTTTCCTGGTGTTTAGGATGGTGCCCAGGCAGGGGGAAAAGGGCAATCCAAGCAGGATTTCTGCAAAGCTGCTGGGGTGTAACTCAATTGCTGCTCTGCAAAGTGGCAGCTCATTGAAAGCCACAATGCTTTAAACCCAGTGAACCAGATCCTATCCACGAGTACCTCTCCATCTTCTTTATTTCCATGTATTTTGGGGCTGGCACTTTGCAGGTTCTCACTTTCCCTTTCTGTATTTAAGAAATGTTTTATGTTTCTCCATGGCAAATGCGCTGCTGGCAGGAGAAATCATTATTTACAAGGTTCTGCCACAGAATAAGCCACAAGCTTTTTGTTCTCTTGCTGTACCACAGAGCAGCTGAAATGCAGCAAGAGAAGCTGACTCCAAAGGAAATTCAGGAAATGATGTGAAGATGAGGTAAAGCAGAATATCAGACCAGATATCCTTGGCTCCATAGAAGACTGGAAAACAGGAGTAGGATTCCACTGCAAGATTTTCTGTTTCAGCAGGGGTAAAAATACGTGAGAGAGCAGTGGGCTCTGTCACTGGCAGCAATAAATGAAGGAGCAGGAACGGGTGACTCAGCATGGCCCATGGTTACTGGAGAGATCCCAAAGCAGCCAAACCCACCGGCTCAAGAACAGGGGAAATCATCAGCCCAGGGCCCCACAGGAACTGCCTGTCGATGTCCCAGGTTGTTTCATCAGAGTAGAACCTGAATAAATGTGAAGGATAGAGAAGAAATTGGGGTTTTTTTGTGATTTATATCAGCAGCAACCCCAAGGTTTCAGTGCACTGATTGTCCACCGTCATGACTAAAGGATGCCATATAAAAATCCCCTCTTGATTACCCCAAAATGGGGTTTCACAGATTGGCAAGTCACCTACAGACATCCCAACGTGCATTTTCTTCACAGGGCAGAGGTTCAGGAAGTCCCCAAGCCCATGAAATGTGTCAGATTTTCTAAGTGGTTGTGAAACTCCCCAACTCACTCGTGCAGCAGTGGCCTCACGACGGTGTGTCCTTGGGTGTGAGCTTTGTAGAGCAGCGTGTACAGGTAGGGCAGCAGCGTGTAGCGAATGTTCAGGTAATGCTTGGAGCTGTTCACCAGCAAGGAGTTGGGTCCAAACACAGCTGGGTCTTGATGCTGGAAGCAAACACCCACTGTTATTATTTCCAGGTTTTCAAAAACACTTTGCAAACGTGAGGAAAGCTGTTTGAGAGGGGCTGGGGTTGTGTGGGGCAGCTCTGCACTGGGTTCTCTGTTCTGGTGCTGTGACCTGGTGTCCTGCCCCTCTGTGCTGTTTGCACTGCCCATCCCTCCTTGTCCATCGGGGTTATTCCAGGATTCATCCTGGCATTCAGGTTCATGCCAAGGGGCTCGGCCTGTGGATCACACAGACCTCGGTGTTCTTGGTGGTAGGATCAAAAAAATTCATAAAACTGTTGCCAGATAATTGTATTCTCAATTAACCCTTATGAAACCCAGCCTCTCCCATCCATAGTTTCATAAAGCTTAGGGTTCTGTTTTCAAACTGGTCAGTGATAGTGAGGATTAGAAGTGATATTAGAGGAAATGTGGTTGTGTAACACAAAGCAGCTTTGAACAGAAAGCACAACTTACCATGAAACCTTCACAGTTGTGGTTCCTGGAAAATGGGTAAAATGCTCCCACCTGCATCCATCGTCTGCAAAGTTCCTCTGTGGTGTTTTCACTGAAACCACAAATATCTGCTCCAATCTTTAAAAAATAAAAATTTAGAAAAATCAGAATGTGTTGGATGTCCAGTGTTCTGTACCTTGAAAGGCACAACATGTTTGTAACTTCCCTCTCCCAAATCCAGCTATGCTGCCCAAAAAATTAAACTGACCCCTCACTAACACTGCCCATGATTCTGCTTCCTTCAAATTTTACCTTCCTGCTTGGTGATCATATGCACAGAATGGGAAAACAGCTTCAAAGCCATTCAAATTTAAATAATAAAAAGGATTCTGGCTATTTCCCTTCTAAGTGGATGTCTCTAATTTGAAATTATAAGAAAACCAGGAATTGTTTCACATCCCTCAGTAGTGTTTAAAAATTTCTAAACTAAGAGGTAGATTGGGATAAGATAATAAGTTTGTTACCCACTTTTATGTTGCCACAACCACCAAAAACAAAATAAATGGCCTAAATCAAAAGATAATTGAAATGTTCAAAGGAGATTCCTAAGAAGGGTTAATTTTGAGGTGCCAATGTAAGTGGTTATTTAGAGTGGTTAGATAATCTGTCCTCAGTTTTGAAAGGACAGCACAAGCTGATGTCCTACATAAGGTATTCCAAAGAGGTTGAACTCCAGCATTCCAGGGATTGCCCATCTCATCTGGTCCCACGTGGCTGCATTATCCCCCAGCCAGTGTCCCCCGTGCTTTCCTGATCCTGCAAAAGTAGACCTTGAGATGAGGAAGCTTCTCTTTCCTGGAAACACCTTCTCGATGGCTCTGGAAAGGAATGAGACTGGAATTACACAGAGGAAAACACAGCTCGGACATGGATAATCCTGAACAACGCAGATTTATACTGATTTGCCCTGATGATTCATCCCAGGGATGGAGACACCCCTTTTGCAGGTGTGTTTTAGCAAAGTTCAAGATATTCATTTGAAATAATCTCTTTACACAGCTGTGACAGCCAATGTGTGGCTTTTCCTACCAACTCCAGGCTGTGGATTTTGCCTTGGCCAAACTGGCCTGACCGTAACCCAGCATTTTCCAAGAACCTCGTTCCTTTAGCAGTCAGGTCTTGTGGTACTTGGGAAAATACAGGTCATGGACTGTTCTGAAACCTTTCTGCAGGATTTTTAGGATGCATTCCTTACTTCCTGCTGGATATGATCATGGAATATCCGTAAAGATTGTGGACATCATATTGCTTCCCCCACTTCTGCACCGCATCCAGGCAAATCGTCTTGGAATACATGAGTTTGTCAAGGATCCCTTGAAGAAAGGAATACAAATAGCACTGGTAAGGTACATTTTTACTGTTAATATTTCCAATCTTTAATGCACATTTGTGGTATCCAAGCACCCTTTTTTTCTCTTTACTCTTTCACTCAGGCAGTTTAATTACTCCAAAACCGAGATGCTGCTCTTGGCTGTGGGTTTGGTTCATCAGTTCCACTCCTTTGGACCCATCCAAGGAACTGGGAATTGTGCTCTAAATTCCTCAGTCAACATCTGGCAACACGCTGGCAAAAGGTTACTTAAATCTGCTATTAATACAAACTATGAACTCCATTTGAGTTCTGCAAATATCTGAAAAACTACCGACACTTCAAGAGGATCGCTACATTATCAGACATAATTAGAGGCAATAGCAATATCCAATAATTATTTGACAAGATAAAAGAGGAATTTCTATAAACCAGACCTGAAGCATACACAAATACAAGCCCATAAATATTATTTTCTGTCAATAGGAATGTCCAAACCCCACCCATAAGAACTACACTAAAATCATCCTTGAATGCAATTAACATTTTATTTGATATTTTATTATTCTGATTAAAGTAGTTGGACTTACTGGGAGTGTAAGGAGGGTAGTTTAAGTCATTCTGTGCACAACCTCTTTTTGAGCCTTGAACAAAGCTGGACACTTCATTCATATCCTGGAAAGGAAAGACACAGGATGTAATAAAGTTGCCTTAAGCACATTTCCCTAAAAAAATCCTTCCACTCTATTCCGTCATCCTTTAAGGAATCATTAGCTGCTATTCTTCAGCATCTCCTTTCTGATTGCAAAAATACCTTTCAACCCAATAAAAATTCATTGTAATAAACAGCTACTATCACCTAGATCCAAAATCAAACTCCTGAATTACTCACAATCCATAGTCCATCGTAGGGCACCATGTCATAGAACAATTTGCACTCATCCACCCACCAGCTCGTGCCCTCGGGGCTGGTGAAGTCTGGGAACACAGTTTCCCCTGGCCACACCTGGAAAATTCCAAGGAAGATAATTAATGAAACTTTGAATGGGATTTAAAAGGGTTCATAGGATCACAGACCCGCTCAGGTTGGATGGGAGCTTGAAGAACACAAAGAGTAAGAATTTCTTAACTTTAAATTCTTCAGTTGCTTTTCTTGTGAGTCCTACAAGGAACAGTACACAGCTGAGAAAACTCTCAACAGAAGTTAGGATTATAAATTAAAAGGATAATGTGGGGTCTGGCTCTTCAGCTGCTGCTGGAAATAAACAGGAGCTGGCTGGTGAAATGTCCCTTGGGCCTTCAAACTACCCTTTAATGTAAAAAACTTTTAATGCTAATGTAAAAAAAAATTAGGAATATTGTGAGCAAGTCAAATTTTAATTGCTATTTTAGTTCTATTTTTCTTTAAGAAATTAAAATTTTAAAAATATTCATTTTGATGTAGAATTACTGAAGAATACCTTTTAAATGTAAACAATTGAAAAAAGTAAAGAAAAGTTGAGAATTACATTTTATCATATTTTACGAGAGACCTTACAACTCTGCTCTCACTGGCAGATAAGTCCCTGAGCTAAATTAAATCATAACAGTGACAAGAGATCAAATTCAAATGTGTAAAACCACAATTACCTCCCCAAGTAATGGTGTTATTCCATCTGACTCGTTAACCCAGACTTTTCTCGCTGTTCCCCTCCTGTAGCTTTCATAGGGACTTCCATCAGACAGATTTTGGGTGCTGATAGCAGGATCCTAAAGAAATTAGAAAATGACAAAGAAAAGAAGAAATCAGGATATTCCATCCATTATTCCAGGCCATAAGTGCAATAATTACACAGAACAAATAAAGAACAATAATAAATAACTGTAATGAAAGTGTTCCCAAGTGAAAAAAGGAGTAATTAAATGCTTACCAATATGATGATGTATTTTTGTCCATAGTCATGCAAATAAGATGCAAATTCAGGGAGCTCTTTAAATTTCACTTTGTCATAGGTAAAGTCTTTCCTTTTGTCCATGTACTCAATATCAATGACTTGGGCATCCTGAAAGAGAAGAGAGTTCAGCTTTCCCATGAGAAATGATTTGGTTAAGATTTTTATTAGTCCATTTGCTTCCCAAATATTAGCTACATATTAGGGTATTTTGATTCTATTGAAGACATTAGGTTCATATCTCCTAAAAGTTAATTTTAGAAGTTAATTGTACTTTGTCTTTGACTGACAATATATTAAGAATAATATATGGTTCCATAACTGTCCATAGGACAATAAAAAAAAAAATATTTCAAGAGAAGAAAAATAAAGTTGGAAAGAATACAAGAAAAACGATTACAATAAAGTGTTTGAATAAATCTAACTGCAGTAAACCCACCCCCCTCGTTCTGATAACAGGTCTAACATCAAAATGCACAAAAACCTTTGACGCCACACGTTTCCTAACCCAAACTCATGGGAATTGAGCCAGCTGTAGGGTGTGGGTGGTGTCCCCAAGCTCCATACTCACGTAGGGCAGGTCGACAGCCCTGTTCCTCTCCACAATTTCCTTCACCTCGTCCAGGGAGGCGTAACCGTAGCGGCTGAGCTGGAACCCCAGGTTCCAGTAGGAGGGCAGTGCTGGCAGTCCCACGAGCTGCGAGGGGAAAACAAAAACCCCACGTGCTGTTGGACACCCTGTGTCACCTCATCCCCTTTCCCTGCATCCACTGATCCCTTAGGATTTTATTTTTATCTTTTCCATACATTTGTAACCCTGCAGTTCTTTCCAGAACTCCAAACTCCACACACAGCGTCAGCTGCTGCTTTCCCATTCTGGGCAGACACAACAATTCCTCCCCAGGCCTGGCAATCAAGGACACCTCAGTGCCCCAGGCCCCAGAAATGGGAACAAAAGGGAGCTGGGGCAGCAAACTTGGGCTGAATGCCTTCATCAGCTGCAGCTGGAATTGCAGGATTGACCCCCAATGTGCAAATGGACCAAACTTGTAAAAGTGTGAAACCCGTGAGCCGTGGGACATTTTGGGTGCAGCCCCTGGGGGGCTTCACCTGTCCTAAATGTGCCTGGAGGGCCCTCAATAAATAGAAATAGAATTGATTTGTATTCCCTTAATTCTGTCTGGCCTCTCTTTCTGGGTAGCCTCAGAAAAAGGCATTACCACATTTCTCAAGTCTACTCCAATAGCACACACTAAATGAGCAACCCACTCCTAAATACAATATTGTTTCCATATTATTTATTTGTTTTAATAAATGCTGGTATTTTGGGACAATGCCCACTCTTTAAGGTGTCACTGGAACTGAGGCAGGTCTCAAGAAGTGCAAAAGACACTCGGTGATATTTTATGATCACAAAATCCAGTCATCCTGCAAACACACTCTCTATCCCATAATATTGCCATGTGAACAGGAATTAGTCCTCATGACAGGAGCAAGAAAACTTCAATTATTCTAGAGACCATCTCCAGCTCTAATGACCACAGGGTAAATTACAGATTAATGGAGCAATGGATTTTGGAGCATGGTCTCCTCTCCAGCACCCAGAGAAAAAGAATATTATAAAATAAATCCCAAGCACTTTGAAAAATTCTTCTCAAAGTATAATCCCTGTAGGTGAAGGTACCTGCAGGTACTCCTGGACTACTTGCTCTGGAGTGTTCCCCAGGAAGATGTAGAAATCCAGGATGCCTCCAATGGTTCTGTAGGTCACTGCTGGAGCAGGCTGCACCACAAACTCTGCCAGACAAGAGTGCACAAAAACAGTTCTCAAGGACAGGAAAGCCTAAAATAACTTTGCCATTTTCTAGTTGATGATTAGGGAATTTATGAAAGTAAAAACCACAAAATGCTTAAAGAACCTGAAATCATGAGCTGAACTTGCAAAGAAGGGGAAATCAGACAACTCTTTGTGTCCCTATTTCCATTCCTTTACATCCTACAGAAAAGAGAACCAGAAGAAATCCAATGGTTCAGCCTTTTATCTCTGAATTTTTAGTACAACTTTCCTGCCCAAAGATGTGCAGAGCTCAGTAAACATAAATATAAATATACTTATCTCTGAAGGGACTAAAGGACATTTACTTCCAAGTTTTTTTCACTACAAATTTAGTCTCTTATTCCAGTGCAGTCCTGTACAGTCTTTGGATAAGTTCCTGACCCTCAGATTTCCATCAAACTCCTCCAGTTAACTGAGAGCTACTCACTGCTTGTATTTGAAATATTATTATACACCACACCTGTGGCTGCCCTCAGATATTAGGGGTGTTTTTAAGAAGGGACACTTACATCAGCTCAGTTTTGATTGCCATCCAAAAGATCATTTCAAAAGAAATTCAACTGCTCAGAGCCACAGAGAAAGGTTTCTTACCCATGGCATTGCTGTTCATCAGGAAAACACCAAAGGAGGCTCCAGTGCTGTCTTCCAAACACAGGAAGAAAGTTTGGGCTCCATATAAATTATCCATTGCCTAAAATAATAAAGGGAACAGCAAACTGATTAACATCTAATAGCAGGATCTGTTCTGGAATATTTCAAAACATATCACGGGTAGAACTTGAAATGTCTCAAAATGGAGCAAACAGCAGAAATGTAAATCCTGATGCTTCCCTGTTTTATATGTTCTGGTGTTCCTGGTGTTATTCTCCTTTATTTTCCATTAAAACAAGAATAAATAGATAACAGATCTGATGGATCTCCAGGAAAACTGGAAGATATTATAGCTCTGTTTCTGAGGAATAAATGTGCTCATCAAGAACTTGAGAGGTTCTTCCATCCCCTTTCACCATAGGTTAGGTTTTACAACTAATCTGTATTTCTATTCATCCTACAAGGCAATAATTTTGATGTTTAATCTGTGGAAATAGGAGAGTGCCACGCTGCTTTTTCATTTCCTTTCTAATCCTTTTTTTATTTCTGTTGTTATTATTAGCATCACAACCCCTCAGAAATGCTAATGATTGTTGCAATAGTTGTGTTTTTTCTCCTGAAAAAGCAAATTCAGTTCAAATGCACAAGAAACAGGACCTGAGCAATTAGAAACCAGCCTAACTTGGTGCTGTTCAGTGTTATTTTATCTTAATGAGCCTGCACTCAATGAAGCCATTCAGTGAAGAACTATCTTCAAACCAGAGGAAAGACTGAGAAGGAATCTCAAGGCAATGGGTACAAATTCCAGATCATTAATTAACCACATGCAGCCATCTCACCCTCAGGTTTCAGTCTGTATATCACCTGGTGCAGCAGAACAAAAGTTCTGTCTCAAAGCTGGGAGTTGCTTTATGAAGCTGAGGTAACGGTGAAAATAATCTTACAATTATCAAAGAATGGGTGGCACAGAAATCGTTTCATAAAGGGACAGCCAGAAAACTATAGAAACAAATAGCAGCTGACAGACATATTTTATTTTGGAAAGAGACAGCTGTTAAGGAGAATTTTCCCATCATTTGAGCTCCAAGGATGTTGCTGCAGCAGTCTGGGCCATCTGCACGCAGCAAAGCACATTGTCATTTATTAGTATGTTATTTATTAGTATGTTATTTATTCTGATTATCAGTAGAAGATGAAGACCCATCTATTAAGGTTTATCCACTGGTTTTCCACTGCACACCAACACAAAAAAATCAGGGAACATCCATCAGCGCCACAGAGCTTTTAGTAACAACAACACTCCAGGAAAATCTTTTAGGGAAAACTCAGTGGATTCATGAATGTGCTCACTGCCCGAGAGCTTTGGGTCACACAACTGCAAAGAATGAGGGGAAACAAGCCCAAACTCACTGCAGAGGGGCCAACATCCCTGCTGAAGATAGGCCAGGTTTTCCAGTTGACGTCGTGCCTGTACTGCTTGTGCACGTGCTCCCCCACGCCGTAGATGTTGGCGCTGGGCAGTTTGATGGAGAGCTGCAGGAACTGGTCAGCGTACTGCAGGGGCCCGATGGTCGTGTCAAACCTGGTGAGAAAGTGCAAGAAAAATGAGCAGGAAGGAGGAGTTTTACTGAGAGTTGTTGCAAGAGGTGTTTCTGCTCCTTTCAGCTGGGGATGGATGGCAGAGCCAGGTCTACACCCAGACCTTTCAGGTTTTCTTCCAGCTGCTGTTGGGAGCAGAACTCTCTTTTGGGGCCTCAAGTGGAACAAATGATGGTGGAAGGTCACAGACTCAATCAGAATAATCAGGATTTTGGTAATGAACTGTCTAACACGTTGTCCTTTTATACAGGCCTCTGTTTTGTTGGACTGCTTAAGAGTTGGGGAAAACCAATGATCTTCTACAAATAAATTTATCAAGGATTTATCTCTGATGGGCTGCCTTATCCTGTAGTAGCAACAGCTTCCTTTGAGATCCTTTTCATCATCATTCCTTCTTTAGAGACCCAAATGTAAACACTTGTATGAAATTAAACAAAGGCCTGAGGAAATGTATGCAGTATTCCAGAGAACTGTTTCCATGTGATCCCACAGGTGTCTTGTGCCCCTCCCTGGACCTGTTTAATCAGTCAGGCACTGCTGGCTGCCAGGTCTGTGCCCTCTGTAATTGCAAATCAATCATTACAGAGGATTCCAAGCAAAAAAACAATACCAATAAGAGCCAAAAGCAACCCTTAATTAATTAAGCTGGAAGCCTTGCTAATCCAAGTGGCCCAGCCCTGTGACAGGTAATCATTCCTGGCTGATTTAATGAACACCTTCACCCTGGCACTTCCCCTCTCTGAGGCCACCTGGACACCTCTGGGTTGGTGGGTTTGGTTGTACTCATTTATTTTTAAAGCATAAATGGGATGAGATAATTAAATATTCAAGGTCATTAAATATTTTACACACAGCCTTACATGACCAGCTGCCCTTGGATATCACAGGTCTAAAGGGCAGCCTGATTTTGGTGGTGCTAAAGGGCAGCCTGATTTTGGTGGTTCAGGCCCTCAGCATGAGCACAGCAAAGAAGATAAAAGTACAGTCAGGAGTTTTCCCACATGGTTGGAAGCACTGGCAGAGAGCCCTTCAGGTAATAAAAATTCCCCATAATGAGATTTCCTCAGCACTGAGGGAACGTGATCAGGGAGCCACACCCAAAACCTTTCAGACAGAGCTTGTTCATCTCAGAGTTTGTTCCCAAAGTCATCCCAAGAGTGCTGGAGGGACATCCACCACACAAGGAAAGGGAAAAAGTAGAGTCTGTGCCCGAGAGGACACCTGACAGGTGGCATCTGATGTGGCATCACCAGCTTTCAGGGAGCCCCAGTGCCACCTGAGCCACTGAGGAAGCCCCAGCAGGACTTACAGCACTTTGCCATTGCTGGCTCTGGTCACCACGAGGCCGAAGGGTTTCTGCTTCAGCTCCACCTTGTAGCTGAGGTCGGAGGCCATGGAGCCCTTGAACGGCTGCACGTGCTCGTGAGGGACCTCGAACCTTTTTGCCTTGGGGTCAGTGATCTGCACACATTTACACAGCACAAATGTTGGGCCTTTACAGATTAGTCCCTAACACAGACAATTTCCAGCATTATCCATAATACTCAGGGTATTTCCCCCCTTATCCCCGTCTCCTGCTTTCATCGCTGATCACTTCCAAGTTTAATTACTCATTTCCAGCCATTTTCTTCAGAATATTTGACTCTGTGTTTCCCTGGCTCTGCATGAACCCAGCACCACAGGACAGACTCCCACAGAAAGTTCTCAATCCCACAAGTCACTGATACCCCACATCCATGGCACAGGCTCGAGCTCTCCATGGAAAACACAAACCACTGCAAAAGCTAATATTGTCTATCAAAATAACTGAGACATGTGACCAGGCCATAAACAAAAAGTAAATACATTTATCCCCCAAATCTTCCTGTGATGAGGACAAATGGTAGGTAATAAAAAAGCTGAGCTTTTCAAAGCTCTTGGTGATTTTTTGTGCAGAATTCCCACCGTGCCAAGTGCCTTTTAACCTGAGGCATTGCAACAGCAGGGAGGACAACGAAAGGACTTCAGTGGGAATCATGAGAGTGCTCCAGAGACATCAATCCTACACTCCCTGCACAGGCAACCTGACATCTTGCAGGGAAAACAGGCCTTGGAGCAGAAGAGGACAAAGGCTGACCTTGAATCGGAAGCGGTTCTTTGTCTGATACTCTCCCGTGAGCAGCACGGTCTGGATGTCATTCCCGAAGAGGGAAGGGGATGGCAGCCTCTTCAAGGTGGCCTCAAACCCTTGGGAGACAAACACGGGGTGTTGTGGGGAATGGGAGCTCAGGGCTGGCAGCTGGGGGGCCCAGGCCAGAGCTTACCTGCCTGGGTGGGTCTCTGGGAGCCCTGCACTTGGTAGCCGTGGTTGGGCGAGAAGAAGCACCAGGGCACGCTGGTGTCGCTCTGGGGGCTCCAGCAGCAGCCACGGAGGGAGCAGGTGCTCTGAGCAAGGGCAGAGGGACACAAATCAGCTGGGGTTACACAAATAAATCCCTACTAAACCAGTTAAAGCACACATTTCACCCCTTAACACCAGAAAACTCTATAATTTCTGCGCCCAGGCCAAGTCCTCCTTTGAAGAACTCTGTTGAGTGAACTCAGCACCACACAAAGCACTAAAGAGGATTTTTTTCTGGATCCAGAGCAAACTTGCTTACTGGGCGTGCATTCTTTCTTAAGACCACAAGATCCACAGGTAAAACAAACATTTTAGAAGAATTATTGAAACTTTTGAGCTGTGGCAGGTACAGCAGAGTCCGACCAAAAGTCACACACTGGAGAGGGCGTGAAAATGATTAACATCAAAGAAATATCTATATTTGCATAGTTGCTCATTTTGTATAATATCTACTTTTTAATGTCATTTTCCAGTATCAGAAATATTCAGACTGCTTCTGTATTACATCAAATTTAGATAAATATATATATTTTTTTAACAAACAAACCTATTGTTTCAAGCCTCAAATGTAACGGCACCAACCTTTACACACACATTCACTAAAAAGGTGAAATTCCTTTGCTGTGCTGTTAGAAATTAACTTGCTCACATGCTGTGTGCATGAGGTTTATGTTTGGAGATAAGATTGGGGCAATTAATCACTAAGTTTCCACCCATTTTCTCTCCTTAAACCCCCATTCATAACTTAGGGCAAAGGACAGTGGTAAAACAACTCTCACTGAGGGTGAATGTCCATTGGTGATCTCAGGTATCCAAATCCAGCAGGGACACCTTCAAAACCTCACTTTCCTCTCTCAGCAGCTCTTTCTGCCTTCATCTGATTGTGCTCAGGTGCTTTTGGTGTTTGTAATAAATATTTAAAATATTCTGCAGCCTGAAATTGGTGGACATGACCCAAAACCTTCTGCTGTCCTCACTTTGGGGTTGGAGAGCCCAAACTGGTCAGTGCAGGTCAAATTATTCCAGAGGCTCTGGACAGAGGAAAGCAAAGGCAGCTCCAGCCCAGCAATCAGGCAGGAGCTGAAGGAAGCACTGAGGGAGCTCACAAAGCCACTGGCCTGGCAAGTCTCAGTCAAGCATTTATTTGATAGTGGTTTTGCAGAGCACAGAAATCACCCAAAATAAACCCAAGATTGATCACACAGAGAAATGTTTTTCTCTCTGTCGTGGACTCATCCCATCAGAAAACATTTGCTGTCATTCCCATCAGGTTCCAAGCCAAAAAGAAGGGTGGGAGGAGAGATGCAGGCACTCATTTCCCCCCTTTGATTCACAGATCAATGCAAGGCTGTGAAGAACCCAGGCTCACTTCCCACCTCACATCTATAAACTACTGCAGAGTAAAGGAGAGGAAGCACCAGACCCTCCAAGACTGCAGAGATCTCAGCTTTAGTCCCTTCACATATAGGGGAATATCCTAAATATGAGAACAGATTTGCTACTTCCATCTTCTTATCCCTTCCTAGACCAGTGACCATCCCATAAAAATCTGAATAAACTGAACAGGTTTTCCTGAAACCTGGCAGTTCAGCATCCACTTTCCCAGCTTCCTAAGCATCTTTTTCTTTCTCCTGAATACTTCTCAACTATTTTCAGCAGTTCCTTCACAGTCCAGTGATATTTTTCCAGCTGGATCTTATCCTGGCAGATTTGTATTTTTGTGGCATATTGAGCTTTCTGCACAAGGAAGTAAACACAGGAGTTGAGGACTGGTTATGCCTGGCACAGGGGAAGAGCAGAGTTCACCAGGGACGCTGAGGAGCCTGCTGTAAAAGCAATCATCTGCTATAAACAAAGATGTAATCCCAGCCTGTGAGCTGTAAAAGCAGCACAATAGATACCAGCACCCAGAAAAGCCAAAGCTTAATTAGGAATAACCCTGGACACGAGGAAGCTGTTCACACTGGGGTACAGCATGAGCTGAGCACCAACGACTCAAAGAGCAGCGTGGCCACGTGCTGAGCTAAAATGTGCTGTTCTGTGCTTCAGGCCTTTACCAGCAGGGTATTTTGGGAAGAAAAGCTCAGAAACTGAGCCCAAACCAACAATTCTCCCTTTCCTGGGCTTTCAGAGGTGTCAGCCTGGCATACATGAGCTCTGCTCAGTGGAATTCTTGTTTTACTGGTGTGTTCTGCTTGTCTGATCAGACCTCCTGGCAATTTTTTACAGCAGTGGATAGTTCCTAAATATCCTACTTCTTCCTGCACCTCTATCTTCACCAACCACATGATCACATACAAAATATCTATTTTCTTTCTTCCTTCCTTTGTCTTTTCTTCATTTTTCTTTCTTTTCTCTTCCTTTCTTCCCTCATTTGTCTTTTCTTCCTTCCTCTTTCCTTCATTTCTTCCTGCCCTCCTCTTCTTCCTTCCTTATTTCCTCCTTTTTCTTACTTCCATTTTCTTTCTTCTATTTACTTCTACTTTCTGCAATTCTACTCATTTTCTTCAGTGATTAATCAAGGCAGACACCAAACCTTCTAGGTCAGCTTAGCCAAATCACTTTTCCCAGCTGCTGTTTATTCTGAAAACCATTAACACAAACCTCTGCAGAAGAGTGATGCAGGAAATGCAGTTTTACAGGTTGCTGCATTAGTGTAGCCTGGCACAACCAGTAAAACGTGCCCAGGAGTGAATGGAATCACTGGGATGGGATTCTGGCTTTCCTCATGGAGTAAAGGTGATATTTATCTCTAACCCTGTCAAATCTGCTGCCTGCTCTTCACTAATATTCAGAAATCATTTCCTTTACCTCTAATTCCAGACTGGGGCCCCTCGCTATTGCAATCTGCATCTACTTTTCTGCTGGGAGCTGTGATTTGATTGTTTTTAATTCTCTCCTAGCAGCAGCCTTGCCCCCAGAGCAGCACTGCTCCCCTCCCTGCTCGGGGAGAGCAGCCCTGCACTGGGGTGGCTGCTCCAAAGGCAGGAATTACAGATTTAAATGAATGATCTGTGCTCCAAAGGCAGGAATTACAGATTTAAATGAATGATCTGTGCTCCAAAGGCAGGAATTACAGATTTAAATGAATGATCTGTGCTCCAAAGGCAGGTATTACAGATTTAAATGATCTGTGTGGCCTCTCCTGCAGTGCTGTGCCTGTTCCTGGGGCAGGGAAGGAACCTGAAGACTCGAGGAACAGGCTGTGATTTGAACCTTTCCTAACCCACCCCCTGCAGGACTTTATTGAACTACAAATCATAACAAAACCCACGGCACGAGAGGCTTTGACAACAGCCAGCTCTGGAATTAGGCTGGAATTTTGTCCAAGGTTCAGACAGCTGGTTAACAATTTTTATACCTCTGTGAATGACAGAAATAACCCATATCACACTGGGTTGTATTTTTCTCCTAAGCTGCCCCTCCCCAGATCGAGGAGAGACACCAGGCATCCACCAGAAAACAAGAAAATCCGTAATAAAGATGAAAAATACTAATTTTATTATTCTAACCTATAATTAATTGATTATAAATAATTAATTTAATATATTATTATATAATAATATAATATATATTATATTATTATATTATTCTAATCTAACCTATAATTAATTAATGATTATAAATAATTAATTTAATATATTAATATATATTATTATATAATAACATAATGTATATTATATAATATATACAATATAATATATATTGTAATATATATGATACAATATATAATATATTAATATATAATATATTTTTATAAAATATTTATTTAACAATATAATTAAATATTAGTATAATAATATAAATAAAATAATTATAATCTATAATTATAATCTAATATTAATAGTCTTACAAGACTAACTATTACAGAAAGATTCTCAGTGTGAAAGCTCTGAAAAAATAAAGGGCATCATAAAATCATGGAAGGGTTTGGGTTGGAAGGGACCTCAAAGCTCCTCTCATTCCAATTCCTTCCATGGGCAGGGAGCCTTCCACCATCCCAGGCTGCCCCAAGCCTCATCCAGCCTGAGATGATGCTTTTCACTGGGAATTTCAACTCAGAGATTCTCAAGCCAAAAGTCTTTTCCATACTTTGGTATTTCAGACACCCCAATCAGGAGAGGAAGGCACTGGGATCCAAACTGGGTGTACAAGGAAACACTGACCACATCTTGTACCTTGTAAAATTGCACATCCAAGCAAAGCCCACTGTTTCTGAATTATTATTATTATTGAATTATATATAATGTGACATACATCATATATATTCTACATATATAATATTATATAGTATTATATATATAGACTTTTTAATATATTCAATTATATATATGAATTATTATTATTAAAAACATCAGTTTTTGACCATCACACCAAATGAAACCATTCAGAAAATGTTGTTAAAAACCAAGAGTTGCTCTTTTAACTGCCTGACCAATATTTTTGCCACCTCTCCTCCAACCAGAGAAATCAGACTTTCTGTCAGCAGACTGAAATGGCTGTGCAGGGGTTGAGCTCCCCTGAAAACGCTGGGGCAAGCACAGATTTAAACTGGTAAAGGAAATACCTGATCTAGTAGAGACAAATTACATTTTAATAAATAAGCAGGAGGTTTTATGGGATGAAATCTATTTTCTAATATTTTCCAGAATGTTACCAGACCTTTGTTGCCAATTGATCCGGGATGCAGTCAATTCTCTCAGCTATTGGAATCTTCTGACATTGTGGGTAAAAGTCTGTCAGGGAAATAAAGAAATGGGTTAGAACCAGCATTTCTAAACTGTGGGAACAGCTTCATTCCCTCTGAACTCAGCACCTGCTTCTGCTGATTCAAATCACCATCAACAGTTGCTTCTGTGATTCATTTTTACCTTTGGAAAGTGGCACACAGTTATTTCAGATATGAAAACTTCACTGTGAAGTTTTGAGCATACAGGTAATTTTGATAATTTTATTTCATTAGTCCACTCCCCAGGCACTCCTGTGGGTCAATGTGCTCCCCTTCATTGAAAATATGTGCAAAATTAAAAACTGGAGGAACTTTTCTCAGGCTGGGCTGTCAGGGTGCTCCCTCCCCTGAGGAGAGTTTTCCACAGGAGCTGGAAACACCTCAGAGCTCCATTAAAATGCCTTTAGATTTCAGGTTTGTGGGACTGAGTTTAAGGTGAGCAGCTTTAGCAGATTAAAGAGAACAGTGAGGATTGCTTTATGTGTTTGGGAACATTGTTTATGTGTGGAACTGTGGAGTGCAGGGAGCTGCCCTGGGCTGAGATGGACACACTCCCCCAGATTTGCCTCTTTGCATCATCTGCACTTGTGCTTTTTGCTCAGGGAAACACCTGCTCTTGACAGAAACAGGAAAAAGATATGCAGATATTAGTCTGGATGGGCAGTTTTGCTAAA